AGCAGCACACAGACCCTTTGTCCCTCTCCCTCCTCCCAGCTTTTGAAAGTATCTTGTCTCCTCATTGGTCATTTTGGTCAGGTGCCAGCGAGGTACCTTTAGCTTCTTAACCCTTTACAGGTGAGAGGAGCTTTCCCCTGGCCAGGAGGGATTTCAAAGGGGTTTACCCTTCCCTTTATATTTATGACAATTATTGATAGAGTTAGTCAGAAAATGGGGGGGGGAACCTGCAAATAGTTTTGTTGGATTTTTTCCCCCTGATTTTCATTCACATTTTTCATTTTCTTTCACCAGTTCTAGATCTGGTAAAAGAAATAGGGAAAAAAAACCCACAAACATTTCAGAGGGTTTTTGATTTTGCTGTATTTCATTGTGATTGTGAACTTTTCTGTGCAGCTCTAATTATTTATTATGGGTCAAATTCATTCACTCATGTTGAATACTACCTTACTCCATGAGTAGCCCCACTGCAACCAATGATATCACACATGGAGGAAAGTCCTACTCCACCCCAATAAAAGTGTCAGAATCTGGCCACATTTTTGTAGCACTGCAAGTTAACCAGCTCTGTACAACAGATGAACTGTGCCAACATATAACCAATCCCTGTCCCAGAGAGCTGACAGTGCAAATGCACAAGTGGAACTGGGATGGTGCAATGCAATATACAACCCTTAAAAAAAAACACTGGGGTTCAATGGCTGAGAGAACATGAAACCAGAAAACAACCATGGGCCAGAATCTGTATTGTTGCCCAAGAGGGAAAAGAGCAAAGGGGGTTTTATGCCATCTTTGCACCTTCTGAATTCTGGCCTGATCCTGTGGAGCCCAGGGCATAACTTTGAGTAGTTCCAAGGTCTGCTCTAAATTATGGATGTCTGCCTACATGGGTATTAAACAGATTGGCATGGCTGCCTGTGGAACACACAGGAGCCCAGAATTGCCATAGTCTAGTGTACTCTGGTGGCACCTTTTCCTGCTCCTGAGACATTCCTGACATACCTCTATGCCTGGAGCTATTTGGAAATGTGGCATAGAGTTAATCTAGCCTAATTTGTGGGGATTCCCCAATGAGGAGCTCCATCTGGATTCCAGCCCCTTTACTCCACCCAAGTGGTGTAAAGAGCCCAGACTGCAATCCTGAATAAGTGAGGTTAGGGCAGAAAATCAGAATCAGCTCTTGATTTCCATTGCCCACTCATAATGTACCTTCCGCTGTCTTCTCCTATTCTTGCATGGGGGGGTTAGATGAAGAATACAACAGATAAAACTGATTGTGTCTATTTTTGAACACTCTCCTATAGCACTTTTTGTTTGATCTATGACATAAGTTTTGGGAAGCAAAGTGAAGATTCTTAGAATAGCAGATTACTTGCTTTCTTCTACATTTGTTCCAAATGCATAAGATTGCATTTGAACAGCTGGATAGTACACGACACCCTCACACATGATCATGACATAGGATCATACTGAGCCTTTGTAGGACACTGAGGATTCAGAGCCAATGTCTGCCCTTACATGTCATGTAGCTCCTGAAGTCACATGTTCAGATTTAAGTCATCCTCAATAGTTTTCTTGAATCAATCTTTATATTGGCAAATAACAATATTAAAGTAAGAAATGAAGCTGATTTGCAGAAAAGAAGAGGAAGAAGTTCCTGTTACTTTTACAGGGATAAGAACTAGATGGTCATATGTCACTGTCATGTTGCATATGGTTGCATGAACTGTGTGCCACTTCAAATACAATCTTATGCTTTTGGTCTTTTACAGCTGTTATTTGACCAAATTAAGAAGAGTAGAATAAACCCTGAGTCACCCATTCTTCAATTACCCCATCTATTGTATGGTTTCAGAGTAACAGCCGTGTTAGTCTGTATTCGCAAAAAGAAAAGGAGTACTTGTGGCACGTTAGAGACTAACCAATTTATTTGAGCATAAGCTTTCGTGAGCTACAGCTCACTTCATGGGATGCATACTGTGGAAAGTGTAGAAGATCTTTTTATATGCACAAAGCATGAAAAAATACCTCCCCCCACCCCACTCTCCTGCTGGTAATCGCTTATCTAAAGTGATCACTCTCCTTACAATGTGTATGATAATCAAGTTGGGCCATTTCCAGCACAAATCCAAGTTTTCTCACCCCCCCCCCCCCACACACACACAAACCCACTCTCCTGCTGGTAATAGCTTATCTAAAGTGACCACTCTCCTTACAATGTGTATGATAATCAAGGTGGGCCATTTCCAGTACAAATCCAGGGTTTAACAAGAACGTCTGGGGGGAGGGGGGGGTAAGGAAAAAAACAAGGGGAAATAGGTTACCTTGCATAATGACTTAGCCACTCCCAGTCTCTATTCAAGCCTAAGTTAATTGTATCCAATTTGGAAATGAATTCCAATTCAACAGTTTCTCGCTGGAGTCTGGATTTGAAGTTTTTTTGTTGTAATATCGCAACTTTCATGTCTGTAATCATGTGACCAGAGAGATTGAAGTGTTCTCCGACTGGTTTATGAATGTTATAATTCTTGACATCTGATTTGTGTCCATTTATTCTTTTACATAGAGACTGTCCAGTTTGACCAATGTACATGGCAGAGGGGCATTGCTGGCACATGATGGCACCCCCTCCTCAGACGTTCTTGTTAAACCCTGGATTTGTGCTGGAAATGGCCCACCTTGATTATCATACACATTGTAAGGAGAGTGATCACTTTAGATAAGCGATTACCAGCAGGAGAGTGGGGTGGGGGGAGGTATTTTTTCATGCTTTGTGCATATAAAAAGATCTTCTACACTTTCCACAGTATGCATCCCATGAAGTGAGCTGTAGCTCACGAAAGCTTATGCTCAAATAAATTGGTTAGTCTCTAAGGTGCCACAAGTACTCCTTTTCTTTTTGCATCTATTGTATGTAACTCTTAGTAGTTTTCTCGTGTATAGTAGATATGATTAGATAGCCGGCTCGTCACTCCAGGGATTGGGTCTTCTGGTATGTTTTGTTAAGTGCCTAGCAGCCTGTGAAGTGGCTGCCATGAATAAATAATAACAATGAAGAATGCAAGTTATAAAGTGCTTCCATAAATTTACTAAAGCCCTGATTATTCCTTTAAGACATTTTAAGACTTTGGGGCCCCACTCCTGCAATTTACAATGCATGCAGACCACTCATACATTGTAAACTGTAGGGTAGGGCTTAATTCATTTGTACATAAAGGGCCAGAATGTCATGGGCATGTAGCAGTAGGGTATATAAAATGGGGAGGGTGCAAGATGCACTCCACAATGGCCACCTACAACACTACTGAGAGTGCAATCTCTGCTCCTTTCTACCAACTCTGTGAAAGCTAAGGCCCAAATCCACAAAAGCATTTAAGTTCCTAAAATAAAAGTTAAGACCATAAATACCTTTGTGGATCTGAGCCTTGGAGTAAAATCCTTGCCTTACTGAAGTCCATCAAAGTTTTGCCAAAGACTTCAGGTGAGTCAGTATTTCAGCCTCGCTGCCTAAAAGGAGGCAGCATGAGAGCACAGTTGTGACTGCTTCTCCCCAGCATAGTACCTGGCCGGCAGAGCTGGTTAGGGGCAGAATAGGCAGCTTGCTATACCCCATTCAAAGTAGTGTAGCTTCTTCATGGGCCTACACAGCTGAAAGTACCACAGTCACAAACTACATCTAAACCATCTCCGAATCACCTATGTCGTATTATTAGTAAAGAAAACAGATGTTGGAATAATTTTCTTCAGAGACTATGATGCAGTCTGAGTGATGGAACCACATTAAAATGGATAGATGGCACTTATTTGTGTTAAAATATTACCTGTTTTTTATGCACCTGGGGCCCAATCTAGTGGGAAGCACCATGGTATACATAGGGCACTGGACTAGGAGGCCTGGGTTCTATTCTCAGCTTTGCCATTAACCTGCTCTGTGAATTTTGGACAAGCCACTTCACCTTTCTATACTTCGGTTTCCACTCCCACCCTTTGTCTGTCTTGCATATTTGGACTGCAAGCTCTTTGAGTGCAAGGAACTCTCTCTTACTTTGTGTAGAGACAGTAGTTAACACATGGGGTCCCTGATCTTGATTGAGGCATCTTGGAACTACTGCAATACAAATGATAAATAATGTTAATAACAACATTCTGAAATCCTCCCTGCAATTTTACTCAGGCAAACTCCCAATAAAATTTGTGGGAGTTTGCCTAAGGTTTGAGTATGCAAAGAACACAGGCTCTGCCCTCCAAACAGTAAGAGTCATCAATGGAAATTACAATCTCAAATAAGAATAAAGGAAATTGACAACCGCCAGTGAATTTCCTTATGAAAGGGACATTACAAAAATAAAGTGTTGTTAAAAAAATCAATTTTATCAAACCTTAAAATTAACAGAATTGTTTTCAGGATGGCTTCAAATTTAAATGACAACATTTTTGTTTGGATGTAAAAATCCCCCAAGCAATTTGCATCCAAAACATTGCACATTGTGGTACATGGATGAGAACCAGAACCAGAACCTGACCTTAAAGCTAAAAATGGCTAGAAACAAACAATGGAAAAAGACTAATTTATTTTTCACTGACCAGTCTGAATAAAATGTTAAAATAAAATAAAGGTAAACAAAGAGCAAAGGACCAACTGGAAAAGGTAAGTGAGATATGAAAGATTATTTAGTGTGTAATAATCTGAACACATCAGTGCTTAATTTGAAATTTGAATTAAAAGATCTGCACGGGGTCTGGGGGCTCAAGCAATTAGGTGCCGGGGATATAAACTGCCAAACCTAGAGAGGGAAGGGGGGTAGACCTGGCACAAATTAAGCCCTGGAACGCGGCTGTGGGTAGCACAAGGAAGGACGCTTTTCTAAATATGAAATTTTCAATCTGTCCCTTTATGGTGCTGAATATAAACTCAGAGCTAGCAACTGTATTAATGGGCTCTCCCCACTCCCATCAGTGGCATGTCTTAGCTCACACCTCTTGACCAGGACTATATCCAACTCATCTGAACGGGGAGACTGAAAAGGGAAGCGGTGTGTGGCATTCACTCACTGCCCTACTGAGAAGCAACAACACAATCCTCCCTCCCCATTTTCTAAAGGCAGAAAACCCCAGGTGGGGCTGGGATCCCTTCTCTGCCTCTGCTTCCTGGGCTGGTGCAGCCCCCTTGTGCTGGAAATGGCCCACCTTGATTATCATACACATTGTAAGGAGAGTGATCACTTTAGATAAGCTATTACCAGCAGGAGAGTAGGGTGGGGGGAGAGAAAACCTTTTGAAGTGATAAACACCCACTTTTTTCATGGTCTGTGTGTATAAAACATTCTCACTGCATTTTCCACTGTATGCATCCGATGAAGTGAGCTGTAGCTCAGGAAAGCTCATGCTCAAATAAATTGGTTAGTCTCTAAGGTGCCACTAGTACTCCTTTTCTTTTTGCAAATACAGACTAACACGACTGCTACTCTGAAACTCCTCTATCCAGCAGCTCTATCCCTTTAAATTGCCGCCGGGGCCGCAGCCCGTGCCGGAAGGACCCTGGGACTGCAGCTGGTGGTGGCTATTTATACCCGGGCCGGAGCAGGGGGAACCGGATTGCGCCTCTCAGTGCGACCGTGGGCAGGGAGAGGCCGCGGCGCGCAGGGGGCGGGCGGCGGGATTCCATGTCTCCTTGAGGCGTCGGCTTGGCTGTGCAGGGGCTGGGTTTGGGGGTGACCTGCAAAGGGGCGTTTCCTTCCTGCCATGGATGCAGCAGGGGCCTGAAGGTGCCCGCCCAGCCCGAGGCGCCCCGGGTGGCGGCGGCCGCGCTAGCTCCGAGGATCGTGCCCGTAGAGACGCTGCCATGGCCACGGCCGTGTCCTCCACCCCGGGAGGCAGCGGGCGAGCTGTGGGTCGCTCGGCCGCGTTCTCCCCTCTCAGCCCGACCCGGCTCAGCCGGCTGCAGGAGAAGGAGGAGCTGCAGCAGCTCAATGACCGCCTGGCCGCCTACATCGACCGGGTGCGGGCCCTGGAGGCCGATAAGTCCGCGCTGCAGCAGCGGCTGGCGGAGCAGGAGGAAGGGAGCAGCCGGGAGCTGGGCAACGTGCGGCTCCGCTACGAGACCGAGCTGGCCGATGCCCGCAAGGCGCTGGACTGCATCGCTATCGAGCGGGCCACGCTGCAGGTGGAGCTGGGCAAGCTCAGCGAGGAGCACCGGCAGCTGCACGCCAGGTCGGTGTCCCCTCCCTTCCCTCTGCGCTAGCCGGGCTGCGAGAGGCTGCTCTTCAAGGCCTGGCCCCGTCACATGGCAGGGGGAGTATCCTGTGGCTCCAGCGGCTACTGGGAGCGCAGCCTCCCCCCTCCTCTCTTCCAATAGCTAAATGCCTCTCGAAATTCCCTGCTGGTCTCTGCTCCTGCAGGCAGCTCGCAGACTGGTGCGTGCTACTGACCGGGATTTCCCGGGAACCGGTGCTTAGCGCCTAGAGACAACGAAATCTGCTGCATCTCCCAGAACTGATAGAAGTATAGGGGGATCGCTCACCTGTAAACAAATGACAGGCCTCAACTGTATTATGAGGCAGCCCGGTTTTAATGGATTAACCGTGTGGGGTATGGCATATAGATGCCTGATTTAACTGACTCCTGTCGAGAAGTACCTATTAGGTTAAGACTCCTACCCTAATATGCCCCTTACATGCCGATATGTATTCCTACGGTTTAGCTGTTGACTAGGTCGCTAAAGTATTCCCATTCCAAACCTGTACAAGACCCTTGCCCGCTCTTGGCATAAAGCCTGTGGGTGTTCCTAGACTGAAGCAAATCTTTTCTCTACTTAACTACTTTCAGCAGCTTACAACTCTTGGGCTTGTCTTGCATGCTTGGTTTTGGTTCAGAAGTTTAAGCTTCGTAAAAACTTAATCTCTCATTTTGTGATTGGAGAGCAAGGAAAGGGCTGGTGCCAGTTCTGAAATTTTTCAACTACTTTTAGTGTTTAGATAACTCCGCAGGCTTTGTTTATGGAACCTTAGACTTGGCTGATCTGTAATCCTGTGAATTGGTGCTTTTTACTTTCTGAAGCAGCTAGGCTTTAGAAATGACTTTACAGCCTCCTGAAAATGGTGAAGTGCTTACATACGCAGTGCGTTCAGCAAAAGATGTACTAGATCGAAGTCCTAATATTTAGAGGTGCTTGTTTCTGTGCAGTCTAACTGCAAGCATCTCCGATGTCTTGGAACAACCTTATCTTCCTGGCTGTCATGAACATGATATACCCTTTAAATAGCTTAGAACTCTTATAGGGTGAACAGTATCCAACACTCTTCCTGCAAGCAATAACCATTAGTTGTTTATCTTGGTTTACTACCTAGTGCTTAGTACAACTCGTTTAATGTATATTAAGAAGTGAGATGCAAGTGCATACTTAGATGAATAGTGGTAACTGACAAGTCAGTTGCAGGATGCTTGAAAGGAATGACTGGCATAGTCACACCAGCTCACTCAGTCTCATCGCATTTGCAGGAGAAGGATCAGAACAGGAGTGAGGGCACAGGAAGAGAACATGTGTATTAAACAGGAAGATACTTGGTGTAATTGGTTTTAGAGATACAAATAACTCTGAATATACAAATATAATGGTTCCACCTCAATGTGTAATGCAGTGATGCAAAATGGGGCCTCTTAAGTGAATCTTATGAATGTTTGGATGTCCTCAGACATTCTTAGACACATAGGTGAACCCCAATGTTTTCTTTCTTTAGTAAAAAACAGGCTTTGAAAATACTGGCTTAAGCTCTTCTAGTCAATCTGAGATCCACATCTCCATTTGAGGACTGAAGGAAGAATAAAAATAACTCTGTATACGGTGGGGTGGCATCCATTATTCCTAGTAGCGGGACTGTCTTAGTGGTTGGCTAATTATGAAATGGCTTATACAATTCTAAAAGCCAGCATAGCTGTTGAATGACTGTCTATGTTAAGGAGTAATGTTTAATTTGGTTTTAAAGGAGTAAAGTAGCTTTCTAGATGGCAGGAATATGGCAGCACATTTCCACAAAGGGAAGATGTGTCTAATAAAACTCAAACCTGTAGAATAAGAATTCCACATGAATGGGAACAGATGACCTACAATGTCTGTCCTCTTGCTCATGACTACACAGAATAAAGATTTATTTGAATTTTATAGTAGCTGTTGGCAGGGGAATCAATTGTCTTAATTTTTTGTATTAACAGCAATAATACACAATTGTGATAGGGGAGAGAGGACAAACTCAGTGTCCAATTGGAAACCCTGGCTTATAAACTGTCACAACTCATCCACTTTCCAGATTGTTTTCACCATGAGAAAATAAGGGATTGTTCCTTACAATCCTAAACTTGAGCAAAGGACTGTCTAACAATCAGAGAAATGTCACTTTCCAGTGTCTGTTCTAACAAATCTGTCTGTCATAGCTGTTTGAGGCCAGAAACCTTATGGTGCCTTCAATGAGTCCTCTTTTGTGCTTGGCCAAAACCACATAGCCACTTCCTGCCCTAGCACTATTTATTGCTGGGGGAAAGAGGTGGCCATGCCATACTTTCCAGTGCATACCTTCATGGCCCCACCAAACTCCCTACACTATATTTTTTTTCCACATAAAAATCACTTTACCAGAATCCTCTCCTGGATGCTGGGGTCAGATCTCCCTCTGAGAATAAAGTGGAAGTGGGTGAGCCTGGCAGCCCGTCTAGTCCTGAGGCAGAGGCCTACTGGCTGTCCGATACCATTCTCCTGGCTCATCTCTTCTCTCCTCTCCCCTCCCACATTACCACACTCTATTAAGCCCTAGGCTCCAGGAGGCCAGTGACTGAGCATCTTTCCCAGTGAGCATGCTCAGCTTTGTGCCCTACTCTGACCATAGCCAGGATGGTGGTCTCTTGGGGCCAAAATTCCTCCCTCTCTCATGGGTGGTGCCATTACAGGCTGCTGGCACTTGGGTTAGTGGATGGCCCCAGAAATGTTTCCTGTCAGCGGAGCTGCTTTACCAGAGATTTGGCTAAAGTTTGAGGCAACAATTAAACATCCCTAATGTTAGTGTCCGCCTGAGCCAAGTAAGATGCTAAGCACGTGCCTGGTGTGACACGGGGGTGTAACTAGGGTGACCAGACATCCTGATTTTTGGGGTCTTTCTTATATAGGCTCCTATTACCCTCACCCCTGTCCCAATTTCACATTTGCTGTCTGGTCACCCTAGGTGTAACTGAACTAACAGTTCAGCTGACTGAAATTCCCCCTCTGTCCTGGCATTGCATGTTAAACCTGGGCTTGAAAAACTTACCAAATGTGCTAGTCAGAGAAGTAAATCACCTAGCCCAGAGGAAGATGTGAAAGAAAAGATTTTAAGGGTCCTATTTGAAGGTCAAAGGGGCAGTGCCCATTCTCACTCCCAGCTGGTGAGAAAAGATTGTTGGCATTTCTACCACTGCTGCCCTTTCATAGGACTCACTTTTTTCCCTTCTCTCTGGCTAGGAGATGTCATATTTTAAAGATCTGTCCTCTAGCTACTTGAAAGGAGAATTGCTCTCACCATTGTCACAGCCACTGCTACAAGAGCTTCTAGCTGCTGTCTGTTCTGAAAACGCTCAATGGGAGATAGTGAAATTTGTGACTACTTTAGATGGGTGGATGGGGGTCAATGCCACTGCAGTGAGCACTGTAAGAGCATGTACAAAATGATCTAGTGACTCTAGGGTACAATGAAATACAGATGTCAATGTTTGCATGCGGGTATTGTCTAGTTTACTCTTTTGGGTGGTGGTGGATAGTGAATTATACTCCAGTGCTACTCTTAACCTTTTATAAATAGACAAGAAAGCAAGATTAAATAAGTTCCCTTCACACCAGCAGTAAACTTATGAATGTAAAACTTTCACTTGCAGGAATTCTAAAAAAGAAGCTGACTTAAACCTGGCACAGGCTCGTATAAGAGACCTTGATGCTCAGCTGAACTCCAAGGAAGCTGACTTAGCAACTGCTTTGAGTGGAAAAAGAAGTTTGGAGGGCAACCTTCAAGAGTTAAAGGATCAAATAGTCACTGTAAGATTGTTGCATAGAATCTACCCTATTTCATGGTTGATACCAGAATTTCAGTTATGACTTCCCATACTGGACTCTATATTTTGCTTTGAATTGCTGTTCAATCTTATTGTCCCCAAAAAGTTCAGTTTTTAAAAACTCATGAAGTTTGTTGTACTTAATAGGTAAGGATTGGGAGAGACGGACTTACAGAATTTTGATGAAAGCACATATCCTGGTCACCCATCTGCGCTGACCAAAATATTGTGCCATGGAATCCTGTTGCAAGGCTTGTAACCCTGCTTCATAACACTAATTTTTAAATTATAAAGATAGAAGGGCCATTGTTGTCGTCTAGTTTTCATTTCTATAACTGAAGGACCCTCTTTGGTCCTGTCCATGTAGATGAGACTGAACTTTGCTCTTAACATGCAGTTACAGCCTGTGTAGCCTCCCCTGAAATGGCATACTAGGGAGAGAAAAATTCATGTTTACCCTGTCACCTAGATTGAAGGACCTTCTTACTGTATCTTAAGTACTTTACCCTAACTTTAAGAGGAAACCCTCTATCCATTTGATGTTTTTTTGGTAAAGGCTCTTTCTTACTGTAAAAATTGCCTGAAATGTATTAAGTTTTGGGTTTAGGATTTTATTAGCTCAGTTTAGAGTTCTTTAGGGGTTGGAGATTAATATAATACTGCAGTTTGGGGTCTCTTAGATATGAGGTAAGTGTCTGTTTCACTAGGATGGTTTAAAATGTAGACATGTTGGCTTAGTGTACACTATGTGTATATATTACACTTGCAGGATATAATTGAGTTTTAGAAGGAAGACTTAATTATAATAAATGCAAACCATCTATTGGCTTCAGGCCTTTGGATTTTCATAATTCTCCTCTCAAATTAAGAGGCTTGGATCATTTAGTGTTGGGAAATGGAGGGAAATGACAATGGTCTTGTACAACTGATAATCCTAGCATAACTGGGTTCCTTGGCTGGGTAGGGTTAGAAAACAGTAGTTCTACAACTTAGCTGGTCAGTGATTAATGAGGCTTCTCTATACTTGGTTTAAGAGGCCTAGTTCACTCTGGAGATCTCATCACTTATCGAGCAGAAAGCAGCCCTGTTCCATTAAGCTTTATGGGGCAAGACTGCAAGTGTCTTCTGTGTGAACACCAAACCTATTCTGGGCCTTATTGATATAAATTAATAGTGAACTAAATCAGAAAGGTTCCTTCCTTTACTCAAAGTTGTTGACTGTAGGAGTAACTCTAAAATCTAATCTTTGACTGTTTAGTGTAAAAATGTCACTTCTTGCATTCTGACCTACGACAAAAATCTTTACTTTCCTAGCTTAAGTTGGCATTGGAAGATACCAAGAAGCATCTCCACGGAGAAATGTTGAGGAGAGTGGACCTGGAAAACCAAATGAAAACTCTGCAAGAACAAATGACATTCCAGAAACACCTTCATGAAGATGTATGTCTAAGTTAATTTTAGCAAGGATTTCCTAGATGCCAATTGCTATTGCCCCTGGATACCCTTACAAAATCAATGTTAAAATGCACTTATTCCTAAAAAGGTAACTAGCTGAATCAACCTTATGACCCTCTGCCAGCCAGCAAAAGCCACCTAGGTGGGTAGACTCCAGGGATGTGCATAAATTTAGGTAACATCAGTATCTCATATGATATTTGAGCATGTCTCTCCTTCCACGTCACAGCTTCATTGAAATCCAGTAGTTACTATTGTATTATGCTAGTGTAAATCACCCATAAAGTCTAAGTTTATTTTCTAATACATGTGGGAGGTGTGTGTGTGTGTGGTTTTTTGTTTAAACAATTACCAGCTGGAGTATGAGATTTGATTTACTTTAGGCTTTCTGCAAACACCTGGAAACCTTTACAATTTTGACTGTTATATTTTTAGCTTTCTCTCAGATTACACCTGCTAAGATAACTACAGTCTAATACTACTTGGATGTTTAATTTAAAAAACAACCAACCACTAACTTCAGAGAACTTAGAAACAAGAACTTGTGTTCCCCCATTTCTTTTTGTATCTTTCATGTGACTCTGCATAATCAGGTTCTATATACTATAGGATTAATTACATTTAGTCTCCATTCAGGTGTAGAATGGAACTTTTAGGATGAAATTTTCAAAAATGTCTAAGTGACTTAAGAGCCAAAATCCCACTGAATTTCAAATAAAGACAAGTAGGGGAAAAGACACTTCTGATTTCATTTTAAAAAAAGCACTACTGTCTTTTCTAGCTAGAGTGGTAACTAGGAAAGTGTGACAGCATAATGAACAGGCAGGGGAATACACTTTCAGCTTGTGAGACCCATCTGGAGATCTTTAAAACAAGAATGGAAAGTAATAGATTTACTATGGGGAAAATAACCCAGCAGGGTCAGATGAACTTGACCTAATGAGCCTTTCCATCTCTAAATCCCCTGTGATTGAAAAACAAATGACCAAGTACTTGACAGTAGACATCTGCTTTAGTATTGAGTATGTGACTTGCTACATTGGTTTATTGTTAAAGCAGTTGCATAAGATCAGTTACTCAAGCTAGCTGTAGCTCATGAAAGCTTATGCTCCAATAAATTGGTTAGTCTAAGGTGCCACAAGTACTCCTTTTCTTTTTGCAAATACAGACTAACACGGCTGTTACTCTGAAACCTGTCTAGCTAAATGGCGGTATTTCATTTGACCTTTAAGCCATATATATTTTTTCTCCTCCTCTAGGAGCTCAAGGAAACAAAAAGATTCCATGAGAGCAGGATAGCGGAAATAGAATCTGGCCGTCAAAGGGAATTTGAGAGCAAACTTTCAGATGCTCTGCAAGGACTTAGAAAGGAGCATGAAGAACAAATTCAAGAATACAAAGATGACTTGGAGCGCACATTCAGTGCCAAAGTGAGTCTTCAAAAGTTGCAAATCAAATGAACAAGCTGTCATGCTTTCTGCATCTTCATATGACAAGGAAGCATTTAACACTTCCTTAAACTAGTTGACTAATGTATTTGACACAGAGTATGGTCCATCTCCTTCAAGGAGGAGAGGCCCATTAATTGAAGACTCTTTCTGCAGTAGGAGCCAGTATCCTGAATCCCTTAATCTCTGAACAGTCTAAGATCTGCCAATTGAACTTGCTGTCTGCTGTCACTTCCCTATCCTATAAAATTGGTTGAGATGCATAAATATATACTATCCTCCATAACAGGAATAGTTAGTATGAACTATAAAACTTTATACATTCCCATCAGCAAACTTCAGTCTTGGTTCTGACGTTCTTATTACAAATATCTAAACTTTCTGCATAGATGTTATAGGCACAGGGCCAGGTCAATCATAACAAAGCTAATGTGGTATAATTGAGCAGAATTTACTCTATTGCCAATATCATGATCTTAATTCCTAGGAAATATGGTACTAAAAGTTTGAAACTGTGTACCAGTTACAGCAGAGTTAATTATTCCTCTAACAGAAATGTGTGCAGACATGTAATGAAGGTAAATTAACTTAATCTACCAGTTTTGGTAGCTGATAGAATTTCAACCTTCCTACCAGGACAGGATTACACAAGTACTTTGATATTAATGGTGTCACCCCCAGCCCAGAACAGAGTCCCCTTACAATAGATAATGTCTCCAAAATACCAGACAGTCACAGGTGAAAAATCTGGAGTGAGATTGGAATCTGGTCCAAGAATTTTATTAACGGAGACACTTCTAGTATTACAAGCCCTCTGTACTATCTGCAGAGACATGCTTGTACTCCTCTGAGTGGATTCCTTGAACTGTTTTTCTCACTTTCTTCCTGTTTAGTTTTCAACTCACTAACTTTACCTTTACCCTGCTTGTTCTCTTTTCTCAGTAGGGGTCCTGCTGCTGTTTCTTCCAGTTTTTTCCCTTTTCTTAAAGGAACATCTCCTCAAACTCTCTGCTTTCTCTAGGACTAGTTTGATTCCTGAATACCCTGTTAAACATGGCTATATAGGCCTGTTTGTTCCCAAAGCTCTGGTACCAGCACTGGGGTGAAAGAAGCATTTGATTACTGGCACTCAAAGAAACCTATCTAGTGTCCTGTACTGTCCCAAGGCAGCTTCCTACTCCATTAGCCATGGTATGGCTAGTGAACTTGAGTTTCTTCTCTAGTGGCTTCATTTCTGTGCCTTTTTGACTAGTCTGTGTAACAGGAACTATTCCATAGTTTAGGCAGTGGTGGAGAGCTGGATTAGGGTTATGTGATGTTGAATTGTCTTGGTAAATTGATTTCAGTGGAAATTGATGATAAAATATCTTCTGATTTTATACCAACTGTGAGACACTCTACATCTTCATACACATGCAACTAAATCTGTATCTGTAAATCACTTGGTAACCCTTTCTACTAGAACAAAGGGAAGGGTCACCAGAGTCTTAATAATTGTCGTTAACAACTATTTCTTCACAGATGGAGAATGCCCAACTTTCTGCCGCAAAAAATAGCGACTTTGCCAATGCTGCTCGGGAGGAGCTGATGGAAACAAAGATGAGAGTTGACACTTTGACATCCCAGCTTAATCATTATCAAACCCAGGTACTGTTCTTCAATGAGGTCATTAGATTTTTTTTCCTTAGTGACACTTGTATTTTCTGCACACTATCTGCTTCCCCCCCCCAAAAAAATTGCTCTTCTGACTGAGCTCTATTTTTAGCATCTTACTCAAAATAATCACTAATAACTAAAACTATTCATTAAATCTAAGAACTGTGTATTGGAGAACAGAATAAGAGAGTTACAGGAGACCCTGGATTATGACCGTGAGATGCATCGAAGGCGTATGGCTGAAAAAGATAAAGAAATGGTACAAACGCGGCGGCAGATGCAAGCACAGTTGGAAGAATATGAGCATCTACTAGATGTGAAACTGGCTCTAGATCTGGAAATAAATGCCTACAGAAAGATGCTAGAAGGAGAAGAACAGAGGTATGATACAATATGAACAATACAAGAAGACTTTTTTTCTTCCTCCAACATACCTTCATTCTATAAGTCTATGTACTGAGTGGGAGGGGAGAAATCTGAAGTTAATCTTGTTCCCAGTTGGCTACTGGGAGAACTTCAACTACTGGCTTCAGTATGTAAAATACTGAAGATGGGCTCTATGCTGTAATATATGCAATCTCTTCTAAATTATAAATGCATGGATTGAAGGTACATGAAGTTTCTAACAGCAATTAGTAACATTATGAAGGGACAAAATGGCAGCAAGGGAGTCAAACTTTACTATAGACCATATAGTAATGTTAACTCTCAATGCTTTAAGTCCCTTGGCTGCCTAACAACTTACCATAGAGGTTTTGTTCCTGGAGATCTTAATTCCTGCAGTGCCCATGAGGGAAAGAAACTAATGCAACAGCTGAGGGACAGGGAGAGGAGGTAGAAATGCAATAGCTTGCTCTGAACTCTGCTTGCAAAAATTGAAAAGCAGGCCATAAGCTTTTGCACATTGTTCACTTGGGAGATTCTTTGCCATAAGATAAAATACCACCTTCAAGACTTCAACTAAGCTGGTGTGGGCAGAGGGGAAGCTACACTAGGTCTGGGCACAATGGGGTTGGCACAACTTGCATACCTAACATGGTCACTTTGCTCTTTTTAGGCTAAAATTGTCATCTAGTCCATCTTCCCAAAGTGTTGCAACCCAGGCAACAACCAGCCATGGGCATCGCTTCCTACATGGAAAAAAGAGAAAACTGAAAGAATCCAAAAAGGGAGAGCACAGTGTCAGCTTTAAGATTGTTCAGCATGCTTCATGTTCAGGAAATGTGTCCATAGAAGAAATTGACACAGAAGGGAATTTTGTCAAACTTAAAAACAACTCAGATGAGGTACTCCTTCCCTGCTCTCTAATGGCAAATAGCCCATCAAACTTCGACCACCTGTTCCCATGCATAAAACCAATGTCGGCACATTAAACTAAGTGGTGCCATCTAGCCTAGTAACATAAGGCCCAGTTTGTTCAGCATGTTGCTTTTTATTACTCCTCTCTTGATCCTCAAGAACCAGTTTAAATAATATACCCATCTCCATATTGTTCAAGAAATGGTCAATAGCAACTGTTGCTAGTTAGAGCAGCCACAAGACCGTTTGTGGGAAACGGACGCAACTTTACTGAAAGCTATAGGTCTTTTTGCGTCCACAGACACCATCAGTCCAGCTTAATCAAGGATAAAAGCACTTCTGATAAGCTACATAAGGTGCTTAGTGTCAGATAATACCAATAGCTGTTTAGATCCCTTGTAGCTTACTGTTTTAGCTGTGGCAGGGCTCCTACTCTGCTGCCCAATTAATCATATAGCTTTGACCCAGTCTATCCAACAGTCTACAAATATCTAACTGCTTGGTGTTGGAGGGTTCTGCTAACTCAGTTAACTGTTTCTGTGCTGGGAGGCCTGGCACAAGCCACAGTCAAGATTGATATCCCAGTGTTCTTCAACTGGCATGTTAAGAATGTGTGGAGTAACCTACCAAATTAGGTAGTGGTCCAAAGTAGGCTCTCCCAACCCTGGCCAGTTAGTGGTTAGCTTTAGGCTGACTACCTGTCAAAGGCTGGACAACATCCACAGCTCTCAGTCACTCTTGTACGTTCTAAACGTGACTTGCTGAACCAGAGCAGCAGAGAGTCTACCCAGAGGCAGCTTTTAGTAGCCCAAGCTGCCCACAATCCCTGCCTCGCTCGTGCTGGGAGTTAATAGTTTTGTGGAGGTGTTCAGAGCAGAATGCCCAGGTGAAGGTCAGACAGACCAGGAAACTTTTCAACTTCTGACTGCTACAGATTCCCTAGAGGAGTAACAAGTGGAATGGGTAATACTTGTATTGCTGTTCTGACTGAGGACAATTCAGGGGCATAAGATTCCTAACCAACTCCGTGATATCTGTTCACACAGAGGCTAAGGATCTTGGCACAACACCCTTGTCTCAAGAGATCTTGGCTTCTGAAGGTACAATGCCATTGGATTACCTTCCCGGAGCAGGCTTTCTACTGCCTATGGGATGGACAGGATGATTGTGGACCAGAATGTCTTAAACAGGGAGATCACAGATTTGAAGGATGATTCTGCAAATAAGTGGTTTGGTCCTATTCCCAAAAATTGCAGAGCCCTAGACACTAACAGGGACAGGAGGGAAATTCTGCATTACAAGGGTAGCTTTTGCTCTAAGCAGAGGGTATGACTTGATTAGTTCTTAAAATGGCAACTGGACTATAGAAAAGCTCTCAACTTGTAACGCTGCAGCCAAACAAGCCTACGTGAACAATGAACTATAGCTGCAGGGTAGGATAGAGGTTAGATTCTCAGACCATACATCTTGGTCTCAGAGTTCTTACCTTGGGTAGAGAACTTTAGAACCATTCTAAGTGTCTGGAATCCCCTTATTGACTGGGACTGTCAAAGACCTGTCTTCTGAACTAATGAAAAACTTGAAACTGAGAAGGGGAGTCTTAATGTGGAAAAGTTGATTAAAAAGGGATGTTCTGAAATGTCCCAAATAGTCAGCATAATCCTAGCTGAGAACACATGTAGACTGAAAGGCTGAAGAAGCCTGACAGAGGTGGCATTCTTCATTGGAGAAGATGATCCAGTCTGACTTTCATAACCACTATCCTGAAGTAATGTCTCCAAACACTCTTAAACCAAAAGGAAGAAGTGCTATTGACACCTGTTACCCTGAATTAAAAGCTGCTTATTGGCTATCCTGAATGCTTCATAAAATCTAGTGCATGGTGAGGCTGAGACAAACATGTATATAGTTATAAAGTCTCATATTTACTACATGGCGGCTGATCGCTGTTTCAGAAACTCTTATGGAATCAACCACTGCTGCAAGAACCTTCAGTGTTAACATGGAACATAGTGTTAAATTAAATTTATACTTTAAGAATGGCCCCTGTCTTGAAAGGAACAGTACCTTGCAGACCAGAATGTAGAAATGTAAAATGGCCTAGACCAGGGATCGGCAACCTGCCAGGGAAAGCCCCTGGTGGGCAGGGCCAGTTTGTTTACCTGCTGTGTCCACAGGTTCGACCGATCGCAGCTCCCACTGGCTGTGGTTTGCTGTCCCAGGCAAATGGTGGCTGTGGGAAGGGTGGCCAGCACATCCCTTGGCCTGCACTGCTTCCTGTAGCCCCCATTGGTCTAGAACTGACTCAGTAGGAGCTGCAATCAGTTGAACCTGTGGACTCAGCAGGTAAACAAACCAGCCCAGCCTGCCGGGGCTTACCCTGATGGGCCGCATGCCAAAGGTTGCCGATCTCTGGCCTAGACTAACAAATGGCAACAGCACATAGGTGTGATCTCTTTAGGTTGTCCATCTAGTTACAAACTTCATATCCTCTTGTAATGGTATCTTGCCTTCCTAATTGCAGGATCAATCACTAAATGGCTGGGTACTAAGACGACGACTTGGAAGCTTGTCTGAAATAATATACAAATTCCCTGCTCGGTTTGTCCTTCAGGCAGGCCAAGTAGTTACGGTAAGTAACTTAACACTGCCTTGCCAATCTGACTTGCTAAGCAAGTAATTGTTTGACTTTAAAAGTCTTTTTACCATCATTTAAAGAAGGCAAGTATACTTAGTGCCCGTGCTGGGGAACTTTTTTTCTCCTAACAATTTGGCAAGACTGAGATGGCATGACTGGTAAACCTAAGTATAACTTTAGGAATGGAGTGACTTAGCACCATTTTAATAGTTGAGGCCTGATCCCAACTTTAGAAGCAACTGCACTTGCAATTGTTGAAGTGGGGCATAGTCTGAGCCTAAGACATTTAGTTTTCTTCCATTACAAGCTAAGAATGGGCCAGTGGGGAATGGGCATGGGGAACATAAATGCTCACTTTCTAACCTGTGCAATTCTTCCTGTCACCTTCCCACACAACTGATTAGGGCACTAGATAAATGACCTCAAAAGTCTGGCTTAGTAGGACAAAGTGGGTGGCCAGGAACAAGAACTCTCTACATTCAGAGGGTATAGTAGGTAGAGCCTCCCATTAGCAGCTCTTCCTGCTGCACTTCTTCCACACCACTGCCCTAGTGGGTAGACTGTTCCACCAACTCCAAAAGCAATTAATGGAATCTGCCCTAATTTACCACTTAGAACTGTTTCTGAGCACCTCACAGCAGATTTTTACCCTCAACACGCTTGGTGTAGATTACATGGGAGCTATAGACACTTACTCCAAACTGAATTTGGCCTTTAATGTTCCAATACCAGTCTACTGACTGTTAAAATGAAGATTTTTTTTAAAGCTCATCCGTTAAATGTCTCCTCTGTGTCTCAAGATCTGGGGTGCTGATGCTGGTGTAAACCAGAGTCCTAGTGATCTGGTCTGGAAATCACAGCGGTCTTGGGGAACTGGGGATAACATTGGTGTTACACTCATCAATGCCGATGGAGAGGTAAGTGAAGCAATAACCAGTTGCACTTTTTCTAGTCTTCAGCTTGCTTAAGAACAAATAAGCCTATTTTGTTGGGGGGACACAACTTATTGCAGGAGACTGCAGAACGGAAGATCATACATGTATCCAGAGGAGAAGGTGAACTGGACGATGAGTTTGATGAAGAAGAAATAACAGGGAGCGAAATGGAGTTTCATCGTCGGGTAAGAATCTTTCTGCATTCAGAACAGAGTAGCAACAGAAGTAATCAATGGCTTTCGCTTGTAATAGTTAACAGTACTTAAAACATGCCCCCAAAGTATTGCCCATGGCCTACAACTCTTGCCATTTTTCTCCCTGATGTCAGACCAAAAGAAGAAAAAAGAAATGTTGTTTGGTGTCATGATTGTGTTTCCTGTGAGCATCACAAAATAGGTGAGACCAGAGCAAGCATCCATGCATGTTTCAGAGTGCACATTGTGCTTGTTTTCTTGCAGAAATGTTTGCTTTATCAGTAGTGCTGAAATCTCTTGCCTCTATTTAGTCTCTGCATGGCTTTGCACGTGAGTTGAAAGCAGTGCTTCACATATCTGACCTGGGAGCACAATGTTGCTGTAGTTAGAGGTTCACATTTTATTTAACTTTCTGACCAGTAAAAGATTGGTTATTAACTGAAACTACAACTAGCAGAGCCTTTCATGTTTGTTCATGCCCAGGAACAAATTCACCAGCTAACTGTAGTATAAGACAGGAATGATGGCAAAATACTTGTGCCAATATTGTGCATCTAGTGTATTGCAACTAGAAATCTTGTGTACTGTAACCTAGTTAAATCTTTTGTTGTACAATTGTGGAAACAGAAGAGGGAATGGGGAGTGACTGCCTTCATTTGGAATATCCAATTTCAGTGTGTCCTTGCTATTGTTTCAGAATAGCAACTTCAAATCTGGACTATAGAAGGAAAATATTTCCACTGAAATATACTAAAAGCCCTTGGATACTCTTAAGTGCCTTGGGCTCCTATGGCCATTATTAATAGGTGCTTTTGAAACTTATCCACTGCATATAGGTATCTGCTTAATCCCCACCTCCCACTAGCATCTACTTTTCAGATGGGATCAGAGAACAGATGCAGGTCTTACTGTTAAGTAAGCCCCCTGTTAGAGTAAGCATACTCATAATCCTACTGTTAGAGTAAGCATGTTCTGGCTTCAAGTTAACTAGTGTCTTCTGTGGCCACTTTCTGGATCAGTCTCAAGTGAAAGAACTACCCCACACACTCCAAACAAGCCTTGAGTTGTGGATTGCAAAACAGCTAGTGATAAATCTAATACACCAATTAATCTTTGTGCTGGTCACCTAAATCACTTAAAAGTGAATTCTAATTAAAGTTTGGTACAAAGACTCGTATTGCATCACTTATTCACAGCTGTGAATTCCTCTAACAACTTTCAGCATTCTGACTGAAAGTGCTGACTCCTGTAGGACTTCCAAGTTTGGCTGGAACAGTCATGCAAACCAGTAGACTATACTAAGTGCTGATTTATACTAGCTGTGTTGGGAGGGATATCTAGGTATCCCTCCCAACTTCAGAGCTCTTACCACCCCAAAAAAACAGTCAAACATTAGAATAAAATTGGTCTTTGGAGTTGCACCTTCTAGTACAGGAATCTAGTATTGAGCACTGACTTGCAGCCCTGGGTCTTAAGAGTGTCTACAGTCTGTCTCATCCTAGAAAATGACTGGCTGTACTAAACCAGTTCTTGCTCCAAGTCACACATACCAGGGATACAGGAAATTCCACACAGAATGAACCAGTTGTCTCTTGTTCAATATACATCCAGGTGCTTTAGAAGGGAAAATAACAGGCACTTAACTACAGTACTAGGGTCTTGGAAGAATAACTTCTTCCTGATGTTGGTGACAACCTTACAGTGCAGAACTTTCTGAAATGTTGCTGTAGATGAGGGATTTTAAATTTTTTTAAAACCATGTACCCCTAATCTCAATTTGGAACTCCCCAAACACACTAATGTAGAATCTAACTTAAATAAATCAGACCTTTTGATTCTACTGTCTAACTGCATAGGCTAGGCAACCTTTACGTTCATTAATACCCTGAAATATTTGTAGGTATCAGAGTGCTAGTGGGCTTTGTGACCCCCATGCACCAGGTCACATTACTCACTGAAATTTGGCCCTCTATCATGGAGAGGTGGCTGGGCCAAACCTCAATGAATGAGTGGCATTGCAAGCTCTGAGTAGGAAGGCTCATTGTGTCCCATACCCTCCAGTTGAGACCTGCTGGTGTAGATAATGACCTGTCTACACACAAACTGGACACTCTCTAGTTTGAAGAGAACGTTCCCCCTCAAGTGTTTGGAAGCTGTGGCTTTAAGAACAAATTGATACTGAATCATTGTTCTCTAATAAAATGGTCTTAACTTGGTAAAATTGTTAATCAGCTTGGGTCCAAAACATCTGTTAACCTTCATGAGTGGCTTATGGTGTCATGTAGGTGAGCTCCTGAATAAAAACTGGAGACAAACACCTTTTGCCATTCCTTAAAGGAGTGCAATTCTACACTCCTAAGCTATTTTGGAAGATGACACTTGGACTTCATATTAAACATTATGAACTCTGTCTGAAACTAGATTGCGACAGGTTGCTTAATTAGTCTAAAATTAAATTGACTCCTTTTCCCAAGTGACACTGTCCTAGCAGGATCAGCAAAATGGGATAGAAATCAAAGGATATGCAGGGATTCAACATCTTTCAGCTGTTTTTGCTATGCAAACTAGCAACTTGCCCATCCACAATCCCATGATTCACTTAACTCATGCTGGGTTGGAAAATTTTCAAATTCTTTAACAAAATGTTTCTATGAAAATGTTTCCATTTTTCAGTCCAGCTCTATTTGTTAAACTCTAGCTCCCATTTTTAATTGAGCACCAATACTCAACCCTGAGGCTGACAGCTTTGCTTTCATTAGCCTCACTTCAAGCTGAGGAAGGAAAACTAACCCCTCTGTCTGCTGCTATGAAAGCTTTGAATCTAGTATGTTTCTTGTGGCTCATCTTAATATATCATTAAACAACTCTTATTGATAGCCAGCATCTTTCTAAGATGGCTCTACTTAAGATCTTAAACCAGGTTGAAATTCAAATACAGTACATACTAAAGATTTTTTTTTATAATCCTGTGTAAAAATACCAACACATCTTTGCTAGCAGCCTAAAACAAACTTTGAAGGCACTATTGACTGAGTGTAATAAGAATGTCCAGCTAAAACCTGTTTTGCTACCATCTGTTAACAAAACATGGTTTAACTAGCAAGACTCCATACTGTGAGAGCCATAAGGTCCTATAGTATTACAAGAGGGAAAAGCCAGAAGAGTAGTGAAGAGATTTGTAAAAATTCATCATGCATTGGTGCATTGTATAGGTGAAAAGAACATGTGCTGTAGTTTTTAACAAGGCTATCTTACAACTTTTTCTTATTGCTTTGCCCTATGCCATTTTAGCTATCTTAAAGCATGAGTTTTGCATGTATGTAAGACCAGCTTTGAGTTCTTTAGACTGTCTTGCTTGCTTTGAGCAGTTTGCAGTTCAGAAGTCCTCTCCTATGTTACAGCTTTTCCTTTCCTTTCATGCAGAAATAAATTTAACCTTCAAAATTTTTCTCTAGGACAAAGAATAAACCACGTGGGAATTAGTTAGAAGGTAAATAACTAAACTCCTAATCATGCACTTTTCTCCATTCTTTCTCTTATGAATCTTGATTACAATAGGGATACTAAACTGTGTATACCCAGTAATTCATCCAGTTTAACCTATTTAATTTTCTCTTTATAGTGTCTCCAGCAAAACGAAGATCCTAGCTGTTCTGTCATGTAACTAAACCCAAGGTAGTGACTACCTAAAACCACTCCTTAAACCAAAGTGACCCTTCAGACTGCATGAATTTTCAGCAGCTTCTGGAACATGTGAATCTAGGAATTTTTTCCCCTATCAGATGTGTTTGGCGAAAGGAAGTTTCAAATTTTGGAGGATGCTATTTGTTGATATTGGGCCCTGCCTTCAATGAAACTAGATCAAAGTGCACATTTCCTTTTTCTAAGTCTCTTTCCAGGACAAATAGAAGTATTTGATTTATTCACCCACAACTACTTGCCCTAAAGTTTACAATAACCTCCTGCTAGGCATGTCTCCTCCTAGCCAAGGATGGTAACTGCTCACAAATGTAATAGCTCCAGCTTTCTAAACTCCTGATTTATTCAAAATATTTTTCTCAAAAGCAGGCTTAGAAGGAAAACTGTTTCAAGCCTGACTGAAATTTAGGTGGACCAAATACTGCCTTGACTTACACCTTGTGCAACTCCACTGAATTGAAAGTCAGAACAAATTGTTATCCTTGTTTCAAACACCAAGATCTAAGCCAAATGATATGATGATCTACTGGTGTAAAGTTTTAAAATGAGCAATCTATTTGTAAAACATGTGGTTTTTTTAACCTGTGGTTAAATAAACCAACCATTATACTGTTTCTATAGCCTAGTACCTGTTAACCTCAAAATCTGTATTTATTAAACTATGTACAACAGCACTTTGGATAGAAGCTATGTATAGTGAAGTGTTAAACTTTGAGGTGAGTAGCTTTGTACTATAAATGTGAACTGAGTCTGATGCCAACATAGCAATACTGTGGTTAAATATATCCATACCTAAGTTAACGGCTTACTTGGCAAAATATTAATGGGGATAGAATTTAATTGAACAGTTTGGTATAGCTAGAGATATCACACTCCAATGATTGCTAAGTCTTCTTACCCTTTTAAGAAAGTTCCTGTGCTTATTAAACATGTGAAATACAGATGTGCAGTTTACACTGTCACTTCAGTATTCATAACTGAGGTGAGGACAACTTCTGTTTTTGTCAAATAGCTAGATATGTTCCCTATTAGAGCACTGAGTTCAAGTGGATTAATATTGCATTGTAACAAGGTACAGCTAAAATGTCTAGCACAGAGGGGTTGATCATGGGTAGCCACTACAGTTAGCCACTGTAGCTTTATTTTTTTGTTTACCTAGTGGCTATACTAAAAAGGTAGGAAATGGCCCAGCAAGAGTCCCTAGTTAAGCAAAGCAAGTCTGTTTCCTTGCTTAAAAAGTTAGCTGATAATGCAGCCCCATCTGAGCACTGGAGCAGCTTTCAGCATTTTGTTGCCTTGCCAAAAGTCTCTACTGCATAGTATGTCTGAACTTTAAGATCTGGCCCATGTTAGGACCATGCTTTTTAGAGTGCTTTAGAGTTCCCTTCAATTGGACTAATTAAAATATAGTATTTTAAGACACTGGACACCTAAATGGTGACTGAATTTGGCCTTTCATATTTTAGCAGACCCAAATCCTTCATTTTGTTGCACCTTGTCACTTTAGAAGAATTTAAAATAAGCTCTGTTTATGATCTTGCTGTGTTTATAATCTTGGGCTGTTCAATTGATATTTTTTTTATTAAAGATATTTTCCATGTACATTATTACTCTTGGGGGTTTATTGTTTAAACTTAAACTAAATCTTTCTAGCAAAGTGAGTATTTTAACATCTGTATTGTCTGAATTCTAATTGTAGCTAAGAAACATACACCTAAAGAGCTAAGTCTTCTTTCCCTTAAGCAGATAGAAGCTTTCAACAATAGACTAATCTGCTTTAGAAACTATTGCACACTATTCACATTAGTACATGTTCTGAATAAAGCTGAAATTGCAATGACCCTACTGCACAAAGAAAAGTGGCTTTTTACATGCCAAATAGTAACAGGAATTACTAGTATATTATGCTATAGGTATTTGAGAATGAAATGCTGGAAATGTTTGCATCAAACTGTTGCAGCTTCTCTAATTCAGCTGTGTTCAAACAGCTAGTAATTTGGGTATTTGAAAATGAGTCTTCTAGAAAGATGTAAACAGCACCATAAACATTAAACCACCCCAATTTTTTTCCACTATTAGGCTAAAAAAGCCCAGTCAGCATTGCTTAAATATCAGTTGCATAAGAACAGCCATACTAGGTCAGACCAAAAGTCCATCTAGCCCAGTATCCTATCTTCCAACAGTGGCCAGTGCCAGGTGCCCTAGAGGGAATGAACAGAACAGTAATCAAGTGATCATCCCCTGTCACCCATTCCCAGCTTCTGGCAAACAGGCTAGGGCTACCATCCCTGCCCATCCTGGCAATAGCCATTAATGGACCTATCCTCAATGAACTTATCTAGTTTGTGTGGGGGTTTTTTTTTTTTGAACCCTGTTAGTCTTGACCTTCACAACATCCTTTGGCAAAGAGTCACACAAACTGTGTGAAGACGTACTTCCTTTTGTTTTAAACCTGCTGCCTATTTCATTTAGTAACCCTTAGTTCTTGTGCTTTCTCCATACCAATCATGAGTTTATAGACCTCAATCATATTTTCAACCTCCCACCCTTAGTCTTCTCTTTTCCAAGCTGAAAAGTCCCAGTCTTATTAATCTCTCCTCATATGGAAGCTGTTCCATACCCCAAATCATTTGTTGCCATTTTCTAAGTCTTTTCTGTTTGGTGTATTTTTTAGATAGTATTCAAGATGTGGGTATAACATGGATTGATGTAGAGGCAATCTATTTTCTGTCTTAAATGCATTCCAGTCAATGTTCCAGTCCTACTGTAGTCAACCCTAATTTAAGTAATTTAGAGCGGACACTTCCCCATAATTCTAGCCATAAGCAGAGGAAAGGCATGAAGAGGAAAAAATTTGTTTTTCTATTTGTTTGTCTAGATAATATATTTTAAGTGAGCACCAGTTTTGGTTACATCTTTGGAAGAGACCATAGTCCCTAGAACAAGGGCTCAAGTTTTAACATCAACCAATGAGGACTTTGCCCTCATGTATGGAGGAGATTCTGAACAAGGTGAGTCCTCCTGCTGTCTCTGCACTCCTGTTTCAAAATAGTTCCAGGAAGACTAACTGCCCCTTGTACAGATAAAAAATAGAACCAAAACTACTTAAATATCTCTCCATCCCTCTTTCCCACTAGAGTGAGGACTTCACCTCCATGCCCTCTTTTAAAATGTAGACCCTTCCTGGGCCCTTTGAGACTATCCACTTCCCTCTGTGTAGCTGTCCTTCCTGAGGACTAGTGGGCTGCAGATCTTATCCTTACTTTATTAGTTGCTGGAGTTAAACTCTATTCTCAGTGCATAGTATCCCCACTGGGGGACTGAGTGAATAAATTAAAATGCAACCTCTAGGACACACAAAGCACAAGTTTAATGTGAAAGGTAAGGGGGAAAAGCCAAGGAAGAGCTAGATGAACAGGTTAAACCCTGCACCTAATGCTCAGATCCACCTTAAAGGAAATATCTTCAGACTATCGCTTCAGAATAAAAAAAATCAGATACAACCTCAATCTGTCCCTAGCCATAGCTGATCTTGTGGTGGAGGTCTAGAGGGCTGCCTGAACAGAAAGGAACTATACAAAAACTGGAGGCTACAGGCCTGTTGCTGATGTGCAATGGAGGTACCCTCCTCCCTCTTTAATGTGCCTGTGGCTCCCTAGCTGGAGCCCTTTCCTTTCTAGTTAGGTGAAGTATCCCCAATACTTACAGTTAAAGCTGCAAGGCAGATCTTTCAGTGGACAGAACAGGTCCCAAGTGGCTCAAGCTCTGGACTTCTGGAGCGAAGGTGGCCTAACAGGTGAGGTCTGAGGAAAATCCTTTCCAGCTCAGTCAGGCTGTTTAGGCTGACAGGTTTTCCTCCCTGACCAATGCTTGTAACAGCTTGGCTATTTCAGGGGTAGGTAGCTAAAGGGAGATGCACCTTGTGAAGCAGAGTGCTCCTGGCCAACTGGGCCATGCAGGTGAGCAGCAAAATGGAGTTCTCTGCCTACCCCTGCAGGGAACAGCTCAGTTTCATTCTGCTGATGCCCAGTAGCCAACTCCCTTCCCCTGCATACTGGCTATCTGGATGGCATACACAGGACTGGGCTGTCCTAGAATGTCAACCTAGCCTCCCAGCTTCTTCTGCTGATTTGGGGTTCCACATGCAGACTCAGCCCAGCAGTTGCAGCCAATCTTTGGGAGGTGTTTCTCAAGATCCTAAAAAGGCAAGTGTTACTCACCACTTGCTGTATAGCTTGTACTAGTTGTTGGTAAACCAGGCTACCTTAACACAAAATAGGAGCTCTGGTTTAGGGCAAAGATGTATTCCATATTCTCATCTCTGCTGTCCCCTTGGCACCAAGACAACCAAAAGCTAGCTTAAAATGCTTTTCCCTAGGGGTAACTCCCAGGTGGCATAATATCAGCTCACATCCTCCCATAGTGGGTCCTAGGACACTTAGTGCTGGCCTGGGGCTAACTGTTGGTTAATAGACACTAAAGCTAGCATATTCTGAAAGTACTAGGTCTTGCACAGATAGTTCTACAGTTATACAATGGGGCAAAAAGAACATGTACTGGCTATAGGCAAAGTAATAAATCCTAACCATGTGTTTAATACTGGCTTCTCTAGGGCCCATCTTTAGAAGCTATACCAACCTGCCTTTGCTAGATCTCCTTGATGTCTTGTACTTAAGACAAGCTGTGCTATGAGGGGCATATGATAAATAAGAGCCGTGTATGTAAAATTTCTAGACTTAGGCACTGCAAATAACCAAACTGGAAGCCATTTAAGTGAAAGCTCCCCATTTCCCAATTAAATGCCCCTGGAAAGCACCCAACAGCGGAGATAAGGATGTTCACTGGGTTGCTGTATGTTGTGCTGCTCTTATGTGGCTGAAGTGGGCATTAAGGTCAAGGAAGTCTCACTCTGACTTTGTTGTGCTGTCTATTCTGGAAACTTCTTTTTGCTAGAACAAATCAGGTGTAGAATATCCTGATTTTTTTCCCCCTACACTGCCCTTAGCCTCTGGATTGTGCCCTTGGTATTATTCTGTTCCTGTACAAGTTTCTGTCCCTTGCTGACTGCACTCAGTGGGAGGAGACCATTCATTCTCTGGTCTAGAACTAGGTTAGCCTACCTAAAGGTATCAATAAAGGCTTTAAGCATTTAAAAGATGCATTTTCCTGTTGAAATAGTATCACTTAGCTCTGATGAAGAATGGGGGAGTTACATATAATAATCAAAGCATACTATCTGTGGGGTTAGTACATTATGTTGTGGAACAGAGTTAATTCCCACTGGAGCTTTTTGCTCTCACACACACACACACACACACACACACAACAATGATTAGTGCAACTGGGAATACTCAAGCAGGCATGGAAGAGATAATTCTGACATTCACCTCTACTGTTGCAGACTAGGAACTGGCTGGGGGAGCATAGTTTGAAACTCCCAGGATTTCAAGGTTGTAATTTCCAAATGAAGAGCTTGAAAGTAGTTTAAAAGCTGAGTCTGAGGCAAGGGAAGAGAAAAAAAGGTCTGCAGAGAAACAGATAGGGCCCCAGTGCCTAGATACAGAGGCAGACCCCCACTTAATCTTCATGCCTGTCTTTATGAGGCAAATGTTAAGTTTAGATAAGACAATGTGTTTAGACTCATTACTTTAACTAGTTTCTCTCTGCATGTTAAAATTTTTATGAACAAATAAATCATACTCTTTGAAAAAGAAGCTGCCTTAAGTCTCTGCTAGTTTTATACTAGTTACAAGCTCCTGGAGTTAATTTTGTAGTAAGGTCCAAACCTAGTTAGGGCTGCAGAGGCAATATAGTTGGTAAAGGAGTACTGTCAGCTAGTGATCTAGTCAAAGAGTGGAAGTGAATTACAGGATTCCATAGTGGAAGAAACAAAGGTGCAGGCCTCTGGCTGGAAAGGGTGCCCCAGAGGGAGGCTGGCTGAGAGAGCAAAGGTACAAATTCATCCCTGAATTGTACCACCTCTACTTTCAAATCACTGGCTCTGGTGTCTTAGCCAGTGGGCAAGTTGGCTAAAGTTCATCTGTTCTTCCCTGCTAGCTGATTTCTTTGGCTATTGCTATTCAGAAGGTCCATAATTAAGGCCAAGGCAGCTCAAACAGGCTATACCTCCATTGCAAAAATAGACTAAGTCTCTGTCCCTGCCTCGATTTGTGCCTCCTGGGCTATAAAATGGCTTGCATCTTTCGCCACACATTCTCTGGTGCTCCTCTTCCTCCCTCCCCCTTAAAAAAAAAAAAGTCAATTAGCATTGTCATTTCAATTGGCTACAACCCCATCTCTAGAAATACACTTCCACATTCATCTCAATCAAGTTATCTTCTACAGCTCTGGCCATAGCAGACATGATCTAGCATCACTTTGTACTTGGCTCAAATTAATATGAGGAGAGAGGCTGCTTTTCTCCTATCCTGTCAATAAAAGATAATATAAACAGACATTATGAATGAATGTGACTGAGCTACATTTCTATGATTCTATTTTAAGTGAGACCCTTATGTTACAAATGCAGCCGTCGAAGATTCAGGGAATTGGTCCTGACAGTTCATTTTGCACAATGTCATTAAAGTGTTCTGAAAACGGAGGTGCATCTATAGAGGAAACAGAGTAGCAGCCATGTTAGTCTGTATTTGCAAAAAGAAAAGGAGTACTTGTGGCACAAGTACTCCTTTTCTATAGAGGAAAGTGCTCTTTCACAGCATTAAAAACACTTCTTGAAAGCAAGTGCCAGAAATCCAACTGTATAAGCAGCAGTCTTTACACTTTCCCCGCAGTAATATTTATTAAGTATAGTCAGTAAATTAGAGGAATATTCAATTCTAAGACTTTGTACTTAGTACACCAACATCTTAGCCTTTTGTCAATATACAATGTGAAATACAGATTAGGTCATTTACAGTAAGTTACATTGCGATGGATAAGAAAGGCTGAGAGACATCAGTAATTCTTAAGAACTGGTTACAGTTAGCTTTACTCAGTGTTTTTAAAAATAGTTTCCAACAGTAAAATCATTGCAGCCAGAGGATTATTAAAAAAGGCTCCACATACAGTAAGAGCACAGGAATGCATTTTTGGAGCAACAGTGAGCTACCAGTAAACACCTCAGACAGTAATCTTCCAGGCACAAAGCAAAAAAAAGTGGAGGTTGAGTTTTTTGCATTTTCATGTAGCCAAGGATGGGTGGTTGGTGGTGGTGGGTTTTGGTTTTTTTTGTTTTTTTTTTTTTACAAACTAAAGGAATACAAAATAAATACATTTAAAAAAGATGCATACAAAAATCTGTAAGTCAAATAGCAAGGCTTTCACAGAATGCCACACTGATGAAACAATTGTGAATCCATTTCAATCATGAAATTATGTTCACAGTTTGAATTAGGTGTTCACTGAGGCAAAGGTACCATCACTTCGACATAATTAATGGGAAAGAAGCCAGACTCTCCATTTAACATCCCTTCGTACCAATTCTCATCAATTTGATTGGTCAAAGTAATGATGTCGCCTTCCTTAAACCCAAGCTCGCCTTCATTTTCTGGGTCAAAGTCATACAGAGCTTGGCAGCAAGGCTGATCCATGTGCACTGAAGAACCTGCCCCAATGACAGAAAATAAAATATTTAATAATAGCTTTAAAGTACTCCACTTACCTATTGAGCATGAGAACAAAGAGACAAACTTAGCCCTGCTATGAGTGGCAATGGGCTGAATGGGCCCATATTGTGGGTGCTGTTAGTTTTCCACCACTTCCACCTACAGAAAATCTGCTCCTGCCATGTAATGTCCTGTACAGCATAGAGGGTGATGAACTACGGGCAGGGTAGCTCTCTTTTCCTCCCCTTAAAAGCAAATATATTTTTACTGCCATTTGAATTCCCTTGGGAAACCTGAATCACTTTAACATTTGGGGTGGTCATGAATTATATTACCATGGAATTTTTTTTAAATAGGTGAGTGGACAGGCATGATGGCAAACAGCTGAACAAACGTCTATTCAATCTGTAAAACTAAGAACTGGGCTGCATGGAATCTACTAGAGGAGAAGAACTCAAAAAGAACACTATACACCAGAATTATAAACAATAGTTTAAAGATCCAGTCCTACAAACATGTATGCATGAGAGGGGCCCTACTGATTTCAGCAGCACCACTCTCCTGTGAAAATGTTTTCAGGACCAGGACCTTAATTACCAAATGGGGACATGAGGTTCTATCCTCTTCACCACATGAAGAGAGACAATTATCTCTAAGTTGTATTTACAGATGTTTGCTCTGATAAGGCAGCTCATGTATTCAAACCACTCACTGCATCTGCCCTTTACCTCAATTAGATCAATAGTTATAATAGGAACAACAGTGCCTCTTAAAGTTTTTAAAACTATTTTTTGGATGATGATTAATTGCAGCCCCACTCACACAGTATCTGACTTTCTTTGTGATTTTAATATATTGTGTTCGGCTTAGTTACACTGTAAGATGTTCGCTCCAAACCTTCTCTTGTGTTTAAATATTAGTGGCATTCTATACATAATACTAAAACCAGTACTTAAATTTATGTGGAAAAGTCAACATGGATAATTATTATACATGTATGATTAATAAAGTACAAGGAATTTTCACTGCTCGCCAAAGTGGCTAACTTTACAAATGTAATCTTTTCAGTGTTATAGACATTCTCATGTATGCATGGTTAGCATAAATCCAAGCCAGCTAGGGATATGTGAATAATACATTATTATAGTCATTCACTCAATCTCTGAATAGCAAATTATTCTAACAGCTCATCCTCCGCTAGTCATATGCTAGAGATCAGTTCCATGGGCAGAGGGCTACCCATAGGTTCAGCTGAGGTTCATTTTTTTTCCTATGATTTTGGTTTTTTAAAAAAACTTTTACCTATTTTACTAAAAGAAAAATCCAGTGATTTGGAATAAAGTCTATTCACAAAGGGGAAATGCGGGGAAAAGGTTTCATGCTGCCTCTTGCCAATTTACAGTAGGAAAGTGCATTATATCAAGACAAAGAAGTTTTTAATGCTCTCTTCAATACTTACAGCTAAACAGCTAATGAGACTCTTTAATATTAAATTATTCTAGCTTCCCTTTTTGCTCAAAATCTTCACTATTCTCAAATATTCTAATCTTGGCTGTCTCTCCAAATTATCTAGCATGCTAATCAAGCAATCCAATTGAGGACTAATTTCTGTCTGGAATAATCTATACATTCTGTTAAATATTGCAATACGCATGCAGATTTTCAAAACCAATGAAGCTGTTAAAAATTGCATATCACTCATTAAAATTTGTTTTTAAATCAGTGCTATTGTTATAAAATGTGAGCAAAGGAAACCATTAAAAAGTAGCTGCTCAGACAAATTTTTTAGCAACGAGAGGCAGAAAGAGCACCTTGAGCAAGCAAAACTACTCAACCCAGTAAATACTTCCCTTGTATCTGTGGACGAACATTAGCAAGGGACGTTTAAAGGGATGATGACAAAAGTAGGGGCACAATGTTAGATTTTTTTTGCCTCAAAATTTTAACGTTATGCTTCATGGATGGATTCTCTATTCCTTCCCAGCCGGTTTACACCACTCTAGCAGTGTAAAAGGGCAATAAACACAGTAGAAATTGCCCCCAGGGAATTCCCTCAGCAAAAGGGGGTTTCCCTTAGATGCTGAAGAAAAGATGGAGTGCTTTTATGCCATTTCCTTCACAGCCCTGCACTAGGGGACATAATGGGGTGGGAATGGGGTGTGGCCAGAATGAGCTGTGCTCTGGCTATTTCCATTCACAGCCACAATGGCAAATCAGGCAATTCCATGTCAGATGGTTGTTTAAAGCTACTTTTGTACTCTCTTCCTGACCTGTGCTAAGCCCAGCTCGGACGCAAGCCTGGATTTGGGCCATAGTCTTCCACAGAAATAGGGTGAATAGTTTGAAAACACTCAGTTATTCTTTAAACAGCTTCCTCGGTATAGAATGTGGAAGCTGTATCTACTCATATGAAATTTCAACAGCAGAAGAAGCCTTTCCTAATAACTGAAAACATTTCTTGTTTTCACCAGCTGTTCTGGCAGGGTCTTGATATACAACATTTACTCCAGCAATCAGTTTATTTCTGATTCAGCAAGATGGGTAATGTGACATTGATAACGCTGGGTGCAGAATTTATTTTTTTTAAAGCTTGAGCCTTTTAGGTTCATAACTACACAATATATTGCATTGGTTTTGTTTTTCTTAAAGAGAGGAGGGATAAAAGGATGGGGAGTGGGGAAGGAACTTTTTGCCTTTCTCCAAACATTGCGGGGAGGGGGAAAATCTCAGACAACACAGAAAGATCTTAAACTAATGGCCACAGCTACTTCAGAGCCTAACATCAGTCAAGGTCTTCATTAGAGTAATGCAACTGCTGATAATCTACTGCATCTGGTGTCACTGCTATACAGTCCGGCAAAACAAAGCTCCCCTCCTGAACAGAACAGAGGCAGCGCTGGTTGCTAGTTTTAAAACACAATTTAACGAACACAAAGAGGTCACATGGCTCTGTCCTTCTCCACTGTGCAAACTACAGTATCTGAAGGCTGTTGGAGAGATTTAAGAAGCTAAGGAAACTGCAGCAGCATTTCTATTAATTTATAGTACTGCACCTGCCCCTCTAACTGTAGCTGAAGCAACATGCTGCCTACTGCAGTTGCTGAGTTCATGGATTTAGACTGAGAGCTCTTGGGGCAACAACTGTCTTTTTGCTCTACACTTGTCTAGTGCTTTGCACAGGGGGGTCCTGGTCCATGACAAGGCTCCCTGGCGCAATGCTAATGCACATAATGAATCATAAATAAACATATCTAAAGACTATTTGTGCTGACCTACTGGACTTCCCAAATGCAGATTGAATTTATAATGAACAACCATGGAGAAAGTATTGTAAAGCATGAAGCTGAATGTATTTTTGGGACTGTACTAGCTGATGCCAGATGACCGTCTAAAAATGCCACTTTTCCTCAAAAGAAACTTCCAGTAGGTGTCGCTCCTCTGTTTGCTGCACACTGAAGTACACATACAGTAGCAGAAATATATAGTAAAGAAAGAATCACATGCTAGATGTGCCTGAGGATAGGATTATTCTAGCCCTCTTTTCCAGCCTGATTCTGTAAACACTTAGACAAATAAGTAACTTTACTCCCATGAGTTAGTCCCATTACATTCAAACATAGGACAGCTAACCACAACTACTTTCCTTTGATGAGCAAAATGCATGAAAGGCAAGATGTGACTCTGCATTTAAACTGTTTCATAATGAGCCAGATGATACTCTCAGCTTCTGCTGATTAATTAGGACAACAGCAAATTAGAACAAAACATAGATTTGTCATCTGCACTTAATCAGTAAAGCAGTTAAATCATCCAGGACTTTTTTCCATAAAATAACATTTCTACGGACCTGATACTTCACTGTGTTTGCATGTCACTCCTGTAAGTAGTCCCACTGTACTAGGAACCATACAAAGGAAAACACCACCCCTATTCCAAAGAACTTGCAATGTACAAGGCACAATGTGATGAAATATGGAATAAAGCATTCCAACATACAAGCAAAGGGCTGGACTATGATAGCTGTTACACTTAACGAGTAGTATCTTACTTTGCAAGAAGTCCCATTGAATTCAATGGATATATTTGAATAAGGTTCTATTTAGTATGAGAAAGAGTGTCAGGATCTAGTTCAAAGTGACCAGAGGGATGCCAGACACATATTTTGATAGTGTCAGCCAGGATGGAGGGGTGGGCAGAGAAGTTAAGTGTGAAAATGCTCGTTTTTGTAGAAAGTAGAAGAGAGTTTAGAGGAGTGATCTGAATGAGGTGAGACTGCTGAACATATTGTCAAGCTTCCCAGCTCCTAACATCTAAACCACTTGGCACCATTTTGCATAAACTGTCTGAACTGTATTTTCTAAATCATATCGTATAAGTCAAATCTGTTTCAGTATTCTTGTTTAAATATAAAATTAAGCACAGCAAGCTTCCCAGGTTATACTGCCAGAGCCACATTTATCCCTGGCATAGAATTCAATAGTGTTAGTGCTCACTTTCTAATGCAGGGAAGGAAGAGACAGAGGAGAATTACCCATGGCTTTACTGATGATCACACCTGCTGGAAGAGGTAAGAATAAGTAAGAGGTAAGGACAGCACCCAAGTCCTCAACTCTGAAAAAAAAATTCAGAGTGCTAGAATAGGTAACTACAATATGTACCTTTCTGGTATCATTAGAAAGTCTACAGAACAATTACAAAATATTTCCCTCAATCCTTCTCTTTGCAACATCCACACTGCTATTTGTAGGGCACTAGCTCAAGCAGAGCTAGTGAGTCTATCTACCCGGGCCACAAGGCACATTCCCAGCCTGGTGTAGATATACTGTTAGCCTTTTTTCTCTCTTCAAGCCAAGAGCATGAAGTATAGCCCCATATTTCCATCCTCCTCCATTTCTAACTCTCTCTCTCTCTCTCTCTCTTTGTTTCCATTCCAGCTCTCTGTAAAAAGAAACAAGACAGGAAGAAAGCAGAAAGTGGAAAGAGTGAATAAAGCCAGAGGGTAGAAAAGTAGCCCAGAGAGTAACTGTGTCTCAGAGTCAGCAGCCAGCTCCTAATGCTCAAGCCAAATGAAGGATGGGACCCTTTGGATCACTGCTTCCTTGGTGCTTTCCTTTCAGATCCTTGCCTATCCTGGTTATGGGAAAAGTGCTGGTGGCTTCTCACTCTTTTCCTTTTGCCTTATTATTGTTTGTCTTTTGTGTTTCATTATTTGCATATAGCTCACAAAGGGTATAAGAGACAGAGGAAAAGTGCCTCTGATCAGTGAGATGAGAAATAAAGGGTCTGATCCAACATTTAAATCAGTTATTACATTTAGCTTCTCCACTGACCAGTGACAAGATTAATAATATTAAATACCTTGAAGAGAATTTCAAAAAAGGTGACCATAGTTTTTTTCATGAGATCAGGGTCTATGCATGTGAAGTGGTGACAGATACATATTAATAGGTACAGCAGTCTCTTCTACACAGACTAAGTTTGCATTTTATTGATCGGCTTTTCAGAACCAGAAGTGGTTACATGCTAACAAAATAAGTTGTGTTCATATTTTATTTTATGTGTTACACCTAAAGTTTTACCTTTAACTGTTTTAATAAAAACATAAAGGAGATCATTTTCAAGTGTGGGGGCTAGCTGTAGGCATAGGCAGCCTAGTTGCATGGACAACAGTGGGACTCTACAGGTTTTCAACTAGCATTATATGAGCAATACTTCAACTCCAGTAACTATAATTCTTCCATAAAATGCACACATCAACACGCTGATTCCACAATCATGGGCTCACCTGATGATTTCACTGAAGAACTGTATGAAATCCCATTGTGCTGCTGATTATCACTGATTTCCAGAGTTGAAGTTATTACAGGTTTTGGCTTGAATTCATGCTTAGGACGACTAGATGCTCCATTTATTCTGAAACACAGAGGAAGATTGGCATGTGATTTAATTCTGGAAGGCAACAGGAGCTATGGAGCTTCTACTTGGATTCAGTGCTTTAACAACTGAAGGACAGATGGTTTAAAAAATACAGTTTGTAATTTATTTACCCAGAACTGCTTGACTCCAATGTAACATTTCAGAAAGTGTCTACTTTTACGCAGTTTTATAGCTGTGTTGACTGAGGCACAAAGATTAATAGCATGGCTTTCAGAAGTGCTGAGCACCCACAGCTACCATTGAGTTTAGTGGATGCTCTGGGTGATTGAGCACTCCTGAAACTCAGGCTACAAAATGACATGTGCAGAAACACAGCCAGTAAGCCAATGATGAGTCAGACCATTTAGAACCCAGATCTTTGTTGGTTCTAACTATGAGAGCATAAAGCATAACGACTAGTGGTATTTTTTTTTCTTTTTGCTCCATTAGTATCACACAAAGTCTCTGTGGCCAATCATCAACATATCACACCAGAACTGTGCGCCTAACTGGCGATTTCTTGATGCATTGTAGGATTTTATGTTTACAACCCTCAGTATGATAAATATGTCAGTTTTTTAACAAGGCTTCCAAAAATGTGTCTCAGAAAATGTACGGCCATGTCTGTTTGTACGTACAAAACCCACTGGTAAATGGGAAGCTCCTGATTAATTCCTGTATATGTGGGTGTGGGGTTTGGCATGAGCACAAGAGGATGTATCCATAAGCTTTGTGGTCGTATTTCATTGCACAGAGGGGCGTGAACTTTTAAAGGCCTATGGTGCATCAAGAAGTGACAGTTAGCAAGAGTTTAAGGTGATTAACTCCACTGAGATACAGAGATATAACAAATGAGTATGGATATAAAAAGATGCATCTGTGAGGTATCTGTGAGATGCTGCTGCTTCTGAACTGCAACTCAATGTCTTCTCATACTCCTGAACGTTAGCTCCAAAAGATGTTGAGAATTCTCTGATCAGGTTTATTCTTACCGGTTTTGCAGTGTGCTCTGCAGTTCCTCCAGAATTTCTGTGGACTGTTTATGGTAGTCTAATGCTGCTTCTATAAATACTGCCAACTGGCTAACTTGCTCTACCTAAAGTATAAAGTAGAAAATGACTTTAAGGAGTCTGTGTGCCAGCTATGGAATCAACTATGAGGATTATAAACAGACAATAATAAAACCAGTTAAAAACACACAATATAGACCAGGTATCTCATAAGATCTTGGGATCTTACAGGTCATATTTCTATATAGTAAGGATTTGACATAGCCTGCAATGAGCTCTATGTGGGCAGAGCCCTGTGACTATGCTGACCCTCAGTGGGGCTCACTGCAGGATCAGGACCATAATACAGGGCATGTTCTCGTGTCCATAATGGGGCTTATTCAAATAAAGTAACTTGATCGAATACAAGTATATTTTCCCCTAACTTAACTGGGAAATATTCTGAAACAGACAAGGACAAGATACCATTTCAGTTAGCAGTGCTTTTTCAGATCAATGAGGTCTGGCTAAGTGAGGTTATACCATATCTTATTACACAACCCATTAATGTTGTTTTCTAATTGCTTTAGCCCACAAACTGCAGTCCTAAAAAGGTCCAGACTTATCTCACTAGGTGGCAGCATTTATAAACTGATAAATTAAATGTGATTTATTGGCTCAGATTTAAAAATTGCAGCTAATTGTTCCAGAATCTGTATATTGACATGGGGAAGGGAGGAGGGAAACACCGTTCTCTCATGCATTCGCAAAAAGATTTTTAAAAATGGTAAAAATACTCTCCGCCCCACAGCACAAACTGGCCAATCCAAGAATAGCACTCTGATAAAGTAGTCTTTATTTCTTCTCTCTCTCTCTCTCTTTTTTTTTTTAATACATGACATTTAGACAATGAGCCCCAACAAAGTGAAATGCAACATATCACGCTTTCAGGCCTCTACTGGGTCTGATTAGGAGAAGGTGTCTGGGTAGATTTGTTAAGGTTAAATTACTGGTTCGTGTTGAATATTTTATCTGCTTTTTCCTACTCAAAGTGTTTACTGAAAACTCTGCTAGAACCCTAATGAAGCAAAACATTGCCACACTATGTACATAATTTAAATACATGGGGCCAGATCCTCAGCTGGTGTAAACTGATGTGGCTCCACTGAAGTCAAGAGACCAACACCAGCTGAGGATCTGGCACAAAATTTTTTCATTTTACAAGACTTCACATATGCATTTCAATACATATATAGACAAGCCTGCCAGTCCCTCCCATTACAGTTCAAACACTAACCTAAACGGCCACAGCTGCTGCATTAATTTAGACATAATTTGATGATGTACCTGCATGCTAAGCAAACTCTGACCCTGAGTAAGGCCCAGATGAACAAATTTTGTGCATGGGACATGCATGGGCTGGTGGGGACAGAATCCTCCCTTCCAAATCAGCAGCAAGATACTCACTATGAGCTCAGCTACTCAATGACTGCTGTTACTGCCAGCTGTCTGTAGCAGCGAATGTACCCTGCACGTTGGCTTTGCCTAGTTCTGAGCACGGGGGCCATGACCCTGCCAGCTTCCTCCCTCCGACAAACTTTCCACATTCACGGCCCCAGAGTGTGCTGCTCCACAGTGCAGGGTTGTGGAGTCCCCTTCCGTGGCTCTGCAGTGCATCCCTTTCTGAGCCACAGAACCATAGCTGCTTCTCTGCCTTTTAGTCCTTGCACATCTAGGAAGGAGAGGAGATGATTTATCCTATCGCACGTACCAACTCTCCCTTCCATGTGCGCCTCAGGACTTGCAGCAGCACGACAGACTTACATCATTTTCTAAAAAGTTGAACATGCTTCTTTCTGCCAGCTCCTTTGACTCTTCAAATTTTTCTACTGCCTGTTTAACTTCTTCATCTGGGATCTTCCCTAAACGCTTCTTTTTATAGTCATAATCCAAACGACGGCCTTCTAGCTTCTTCAGGTGATGCTAAATTAGAGAAAAAGTTTCCCATTAGATCAAATGGAGACAAACCCAAACAAGCATGTTGTGATTGTAAGTAGGTTTTCGTTATGAATACAATTAGACTTATTCATATATGAAATTTAAAATTGTACAGAAATCAAGAAGCACCACCTATGAACATTTTGAGAATTGGCTACCTAAATTTGCTATACAAGACATCCACCTCATGAACTTTGCTAAACATGCAAAAGCTGCAGATTGTCTAAATTAGAAGCAGGATCCAGACTAAATGTGCTTTTCGTTTACAGTCTGGAGGTAATTCAGTTCTAGTGGTTGTATTATTTGTAGTGACAGCTAAAATTTAAGGGGCTATTTTCTCCTCCCACTACAGGAGTGGAACTCCAACTAACCCCTTCATTCCTGAGTTCTTTGTCAGTTATTAATCTTACATTCCTAGATGAGCAAATTGCACAAAGCTTTCTTACCCCCAAAAATCCTGCACTTGACAAACTCTCAAATTTGAGTGAAAGCAACTGCACAAGGTGCTTAAGGCATGTTACATGGTTTTTTTCTCTTTTAGTCAATTCAGAACAACAATAACTGAGAATAGAGTCATCCAGCACACGAGAAATCTGCAGTCATTGAGAGATTACTGTCTCTCTGCTCTTTAATTTGGGGCACAGGTTTCTAAATCCATTTCTGTCTAAGTAAATATGACTTCAATTTCTGTGTTTCATCAGGGTTTTAACTTTCTTATTACTCAAGTCTATAGGAATCCAGAGGCCCAGATTTAAACTGTGCCTGGCATTCTGGACAGTTGTTCTATTTTAAGCAAAAGCAATGAAAAACGTTCTTCTGAAGGCTAAAAATTCATTCCCCGGTTTCCTATTTTTTTTGCCACAATGGTTCATGTTATTTGTCGTGCTGCTCTTTGGTCTCATATATGCCTCACTGTTGTTGTCTATATTAGTAGTCTTATTTGACTGCTTCTTAGAGCTAACTCCAGCATGAGAGAGCCAGAGGCAGGCAACTCAATAACACAATAAACCAGGCAACTCAAAATCAACCAGAACTAAACTGAAATAATTGGCTAATAACCACCATGCTAATAACAATTAAGGAAATGTTATATTAAAATAAGCAACAGAAAATATTAATATTCATTTTCTTTACTGTCCTTTACTGTATTCAGCTTTATTATATTGTAAATAGAATAAAATAGGTGCCCATGAGCTATATATCCTGATACTAGTTTTTAAGTAGATTTCATCACTGATTTCACAGGAGAGTTCTGCTTAAAATTTGATGCCGTTACATACTGCATAAAAAGTTCCTGTGGATTTGGTTTCTAATGACCTTGTTTATTCATATATTTTCAATGTCATAGGACCATTTTTAACCTCAGAAACTCACCACAATCTCTTTTAAGTCTTTGTCCTGTAATAACTGTAGAGGATCAATGAAGTTTTGCTTGACGTTAATATCGAGAGAGTCCTTCACCTCTGCCATCTGCTTCATGCTTTCACCAACATCCAGCAGTGCATTGCCTACAGGGAAGAACATGATATTTATACACAGTAGATAGCACTTAATGTAAAAACAGAAGACATTTTTTGTTAGATAACTCTTAAAAATGTTGGCTGCAGGCCCTTTAAGATGTAGAATGCAGAATATAAGACTACACTCTTGCCCTCTTCTCCTAGAGTTTCCAGAACTAGAAAGAATTTTGTCCTAATGTTTTCCATCCTTCTTCACTATCCCTCCAAGAAAACTATTTTTGCCTTGCATTATTGTCTCCATTCTTGGATTATTCAATATGGGATACACAGTTTCTTCTGTAGCTGCTTCTCAAGATGGTAGGACCGCAGAAATATCACAAGGCCAAAAGATACAGTATGTCACTTTAACTTGACTACTGTCACAGTTTTAGGGCAACTGCACTTGGTATTCCCCCTCCATGTCCCTCAAGGGTCCCACTTAGGGTTTCGAGTTCCCACCTGTCACCTCTCTTGGGTGGAGACAGTTTCCCTCTCCCTCCTCTTTGGGGGATTGGAAGCTGCACCGCTCCCTGTTGTACACTGTGATACCCCCAGCAAGCCAGTCTGCCTGAAGGCCAGTGCCCGCACTTTGCTTTCTCTCTGAGGGCAATGAGAAGTATATTGCTAGGTGTTACAAGTTACCACACAGCTCTTTCTAAGCAAACATATTTATTCTTAAGGTAAAAGCATTATAGAGAAAACATTAAAAACAAGAAAAGTTCCTTTAACACATGCTAAAAACTTACCAGAGGTCACCCAGCACTCTTATGGGCCCCTTTCCAACCCTCCCACAAGGGTTGGAGCCTCCCTGCACAGAGAAGGTGCTGTCTCATTTGTTGGATCAGAAAGAAGGCCCCAAGTCAGTTGCAGCCTTTTTATGCCAAAAGCCTTTTCTGTTTGTTGGTCTCTGGAAAACCCAGTATATGCAAACATCTCCAGCAAGTGGTGCCTCTCTGGATGTGTTTACAACTAAGGTGAGTCACTCAAATCACCTCCCACTGTTTTTAGTTCCTGGAGAAGCTAAGTGCCACCCTCCCCCCAGAATTGCATAGAATCCTTAGCCCACAGGGATACGTAAACTATTCATAATCTTAATACAGTATGTTCCCCCAAAGATACGGCATGAGGTCGCAGTAAGTGTACCTACAAGTCTGAGAACTCTTGTTCTCAGGGCAACAGATGTGCAAACAGAACAACATGAAGACAGTAAGTGATCTTTTACATTTTACAAGTTGGAAACCAAAATGGCTAATTTGTGTTCAAAGTGCCCCAAAATATGAATATCTTTTAGCTCAAAAATGTAATTTTACAGTATCTCAGATTCATTACAATTACTTTTCATTTATCCCAGGTTTTGGCCAAAGCTGTTATTGCTAAAAAAATTTTTGGAACAATGGAACAAAAAAAACTAAGCATGTTAGTAGTGTAGCTGATTATTTGTTAAGCACGCAGAACATGCTCAAGTGTGCTCATGCAAAACATTTTGTTTGATATTTCTTTTCCCCTGGCCTTGGTTCCAATTTGCATCCCCATGGCACCTGCAAATGCACAAATATTCACAGCTCGTGACTGGGATTGCACCACTCACTCATTCCTAAGAGAATAAACAAACCCCAAGAATATAACGGCGTCCTCCACAACGTGTCTCACAGCCTGGAAAGCTAAGCCTTATCTTGAGTCCTAGGCCTCCAGTGCCTATCTTGCTGTTGCTCTTTCAGCAAGGCCTTCTTATGCAGTACTACAGATACAAACTTACATAATGTAATACCAGCTTCCCCCTCCACACGGCTTGGGCACCAGCAGGGAAGTGGTCACAGAGCATAGCAGAGACTTGCTACCTGCTCTCAGTTCCAGTACCCAACCCCACCCCAGCCTGGAGCAGCCATTACAAGGAAAGGTTTCAGAGTAGCAGCCGTGCTAGTCTGTATTCGCAAAAAGAACAGGAGTACTTGTGGCACCTTAGAGACTAACAAATTTATTTGAGCATAAGCTTTCGTGAGCTACATCGGATGAAGTGAGCTGTAGCTCACGAAAGCTTATGCTCAAATAAATTTGTTAGTCTCTAGTCTAGTCTCAAGTCCTCCTGTTCTTATTACAAGGAAAGTCCTTCTGAGCCCCCGTAGCCCTAGATTGGAATATGCTCAGTCACTCTGTACTACATGTGCAGTCTGTTCACATGGAGAAGCTGTGAGGGGATGAAGCATACTCAGTTGCTCTGTGGGGATGGTACATGTGCCGACTTGTCAGCCCTAGGTGCTGCCAGAGGCTTTACCATGCTCAGCAGTTCTCTACTGAGCATGTGCAAACTGCAATTTTTCAAAGCCTGATAACTTGGCCAAACGTCAGTTGGATTTTCCTGGGAACGGTGAGAATCACAACCCTGAAACAAAGGCCACCACCCTACCAAATTCTAGGTCCCTGCTCCAAAGCATTTCACAGAAAAGGTTGCTATGATTTTTTAACATGGGCAGAACATATTTTCCCCCAGCTTCGTTCTCAGAAATGACTGAACTGTTTTGTCAGAAATTTACCGAAATCAGCTGGAGGCAGACAGTCTGAAAAATTTCAGCCCAAACAGTTGAAGTTTGACAAAGTTACAAGCAACTGAACACAGAGTCTTATAATGGGAATTATCAGGCAACCTTGAGATAGGCCATAATACTGGCACCACCTATAATATAATGGAACAAAAAAATGCTTAAAGGCGTCATATATTTACTGTATCTATCAATACCTAATCACTATATATATATATAAGTAGTGTTACTCCACATACAACATATGCTGAGACATGCACAGGAGAGCTATGCAAACTCACCAAATGTAGAATCCTCCCCAAGTTCTCTGCCATACCGTAGCATACAATCCCCTAATAGCCCTTCTGTCTGGGGATATCCTGTGGTTTTAACTTGTCCTCTGATCTTCGACATAGTGTTCAGCATTCCCAGCTTGGCTCTATATGCTTAGAAGTATTATAAATCATATGAAAAAAGCATCCATTTATAGCATGATTTTCTGTAATTGGTATGTTACTTTAAATTATTTGACAAATAATTTCAGTGAGTGACTGTTGGTCTGTAGATTAATGAACATTTTGTTGCAGGAATTCGATAATCAAAATGTGAGAGATGTTTTCATATGGGTCATATGAAACTGTTCCATTCACTGATTGGATAAGCTTAGCTCTTATAGGTTTATGGTGTCAATACTTACACTGAAGAGTTCAATAATCACCTTCAGTCAATATATACTAATATTCACTATTCCCAGGAAGATTCTGACTAGTAAACTCTTTACTAGAATTTTTACAGAACGCAAACACCAAAAGGGATATGAATGCCACCAAAGTCAATTTCATGGTCTTATTTGATTTAACATTTGCAGACCTACTTTCCCTTGGAGTATCTGCTTGGCTCCACTGGCCAAGACACCGGGAATTAATTTTTTAGAACAGCTCTAATGCTGAATAATGCTGATTTCATCCATGTTCTATGCATGCAGCGTCAAAAGCAGACAATTATTTTTAGAGTTTTTCTCATTCCACTCTTAATTTTCGTCACACAATAGCCTCATAATACAATAATGGACTTGTGCTGGACATTCATGGGAATTATTTAAGCTCAGTACCAATGTGGACACAAGAACAAATGGATATAAACTGGCCACCAGGAAGTTTAGACTTGAAATTAGACGAAGGTTTCTAACCATCAGAGGAGTGAAGTTCTGGAACAGCCTTCCAAGGGGAGCAGTGGGGGCAAAAGACAAATCTGGCTTCAAGACTAAGCTTGATAAGTTTATGGAGGGGATGGTATGATGATATAGCCTAATTTTTGGCAATTAATTGATCTTTGACTATTAGCGGTAAATAAGCCCAATGGCCTGTGATGGGATGTTCGATGGGGTGGGATCTGAGTTACTACAGAGAATTCTTTCCTGGGCGTCTGGCTGGTGAGTCTTGTCCACATGCTCAGGGTTTAGCTGATCGCCATATTTGGGGTCGGGAAGGAATTTTTCTCCAGGGCAGATTGGCAGAGGCCCTGGGGGTTTTTCACCTTCCTCTGCAGCTTGGGGCACGGGTCACTTGCTGGAGGATTCTCTGCACCTTGAAGTCTTTAAACCATGATTTGAGAACTTCAGTAGCTCAGACATAGGTTAGGGGTTTATTACAGGAGTGGGTGTGTTAGATTCTGTGGCCTGCGTTGTGCAGGAGGTCAGACTTGACGATCATAATGGTCCCTTCTGACCTTAAAGTCTATGACGCTACGATCTCTGGCTTCATCTGGAGCCTCCCATACAATCATTAAGCTTTGATAAGGGCAGGCCTAATTCTACACTCCTTACTCAGGGAAATCCATTGAAATCTCCCTCTGGCCATGGGTTTCATAATGCACCCACGCTGGGTAGATATCTCACTGAAGTCATTGCATAAGGAATCTGGGATCAGCCTCTGTTCTAGTGTTCTTGTGAAGACAATGGAGGTCTTTCCATTGAACTGAGTGGACAGTGGATCAGTCTCTTAATGCCCTGTGTCTTGATCACATTAAATCAAACCAATGACCAACATCAATGTCCCTCCTTTCTTTGTTCTCAAACTGAAATTTGAAAAATCCTGTAAATGAACTTCCCAATGTCTGTTATGGAGACTTAGGAGTGCTCAGAAAAGGAGATGAAGTCATTCAAAAAGGGAGAGAGAGACATCCTTATGTTTCACTGGTATGTTTCATATTCCCTAAAAATATTAGCAACCCACAGGGGTTCAGTATATCCCTTGTTCAAGTTCAACTCATAGGCTAAGTATGATAGAGGAACTGTAGGAGTTCAGTTTACCTGGATTTGGCTGAAGATACTCTGTGGATTTTGACAGAAGCTCTGCTACAGCTTTGCTGGTGACATCAATTTTCTGGAAGAGAAATGTAACAGGACATTAAATACCACAATCCCTTATTGAGTATCCTCCCACTAGATACAATGTATTATTCTGGCAAACTAAGACATTTTAATTAAAATCAGTCCAAAACATCATCATTTTAATTTTTGTGGTGCCAAAGCTTTCATTATTGATGGTGAAAAGAAATGAAGTTGAGTGTTGTGTTGAGTAAGCCCAGTTGCCAGCATCGAAGTGTAGAAAGATAATTAACCCTTCAAGGCTCAGAGTTATTCTTCATGAATAACACTTCCCACATTTTGGAATCACAATTTCCTCCCCAGCCCTCATCACTACTATATCAACCATCTACCTGGGAAGCAGATTCAGCAATTCCTACCTCCCAGTCCTATGTCCTGTGTCCTGTGTGCATGAGCCCATATTGCATCTCCAGTCACTACTATCTAAAATATACTAATATCTCTTCTCTTTTCCAGTCTACGGCTCACATAGTGTTTTCTTCTTATCAAACAGATGATTATTTTGGAACCAAAGAAAACTGAAGCTTAAACATGTTTATAGATACAAAATAAATGTGTTGAAAAAAGAAACTATTCATGCAGGACATTTTTCTTAATCCACCAATAACAAAATATCAGAGAGAGTTATGGGGGAGGAGGGGTGAGGGCTGTTTTCCCCCAAAAAATTTCAAGCTTCAGGCAGGTGCAGAATTTGCTCCCTCCCCCCCACACACACCGCTCCATTGGCCTGACTGGAGCTGCTCCCCAAATATAGAAGTTAAACTATGCCCATTGAGAGGAGTCTGTAATTTATGTAACAAATACATCTGACAAAGAGCCAGAGCGAAGGACGGAGAGCCAGAGAGCAGGAACAAAAAAAGCTGAGAGTGACATTGTTCCAACTGCCATGCTGCAGTGCTTACACAGTGGACAATTCTTACACGTTTTTAAATTCTTGCAATTTTTTACACTTCTACCAAGATTATATCTGCAACACAAATACTTTACTGTTCATGCTAACAAATTAAATTCTTAGAGCCCAATGTTGTTCCTGATAAAGTCACAGACAAAACTTTCAGGGTCAAATTCTTCTCTCAGTTACAAGCGTGTGATTTCATTGAGTTCAATATTCTTGTGTTACTGTAAGAAGAATTTACCCCTTATGGACTTCAAGGAGGACAGGATTGGATCATATAATATCTATGGATTTTTTTACATACTTATTTTTTGGATTACATATTTTGTTTATGCTAACGAATGAATGAAAAAAATTATTTCATCAATGGTGTAACCTTGAAAAGCTTATGTTGGCTTCCTTACCCTTTCCATCTCTTGAAATTCTTCATCTAGTTTTGTTCCTTCTGCTCCACTAATTTTTTCACTGAACAACTGCAAAAAACAAAATGAAGTATTGTTACTTTATGAAAGAATACATATACCTGAGAGACAGAAGAAAGTTATTAGAGATTGGAAAACATTAGTCAAGTGTGTTAGTAAGTACAGGAGAAAAGAAACATTCCTTTCTCTTCAAGAGAAATACAATCTATAGGGAAGGGCAAATGCCCATCAGGGATTTTTAGGAAATCACCAAAGTGATCTAGAAGAACAAGAAAGGATTTCTCATTCTTGAATCAGTTGTACTCTAAGAAGCTACACTGTAGGTTTCAGATATAGAAGTCTACCAGCCAGATCACATTTAAATTGGTGCAAATCCAGAGTAATTCTTTCAAGTCAATGGTGTTACTACAATTTAGAATGAGATTAGACTCTGGCCCTGGATTCCTGTAAGTGCATTCATAAAACTCCCTTTAACACTAATGGGAGCTATGCATGCACTCTCCAATCAGATAGCAGATTTATCAACAATGGTGCAGTGTAACATATCTGTACAATCCACTACCTTTTATGCTATTTAAAGGGACGGGGGGAGCACACTGCCGTCAAAACTATGCATCTCATAAAAGCAACTTTAATTGCAGGATTCCAGAACCATTCTAAGATATCGGAAATGTCACCTCATCTTTTGTATGCAGGATACATTAGCCCATCAGAATTATTTTTGGTCTTCACAAAAAAAAATTGTCAAAAGACTTGTGCTCCTAATTCACTTAGGTGCTTTAAAAAAATCCCATCTGACATCACACACAAGTCATTGCTTCTTGTAATTTAAGATCTCAGCACTATGTTACTAATAGGATGGAAAATCACAAAGGGCAAGATCCTTTGCTGGTGTAAACTGGCATAGCTGAGTGTCACTGTACTTTGGACAGTGTTTTAATACATCTTCCAAAAAACAGTAAGTTTTTTCACATGAAATTTGCTCAAAGGTTTTTACCAGTTTAAAGTGAGCTCTTTGCAATCATTTGAAAACAGCAACAATAAAATGTTAAAAACAGAGCACAATAAGAAGTCTATAAAATCATGACTGGTGTGGAGGAAATAAATAAGAAAATGTTATTTACTCCTTCTCATAACACAAGAACTAGGGGTCATCAAATGAAATTAATAGGCAGCAGGTTTAAAAACAAACAAAAGGAAGTATTTCTTCACACAATGCACAATCAATCTGTGGAACTCTTTGCCAGAGGACGTTGTGAGGGCCAAACTATAACAGGGTTCAAAAAAGATCTAAATAAGTTCATGGAGGATAGGTCCATCAATGGCTATTAGCCAGAACGGGCAGGGATGGTAGCTCTAGTCTCTGTTTGCCAGAAGCTGGAAATAGGGGATGGATCACTTGATGATTACCTGTTCTGTTCATTCCCTCTGGGGCACAAGCCATTGGCCACTTTGGAAGGCAGGTTACTGGGCTAGATGGACCTTTGGTCTGACCCAGTATGGCCGTTCTTATGTGTTATATCTTCAGTGCTATCAGATATACACAGTGTAGTAACTCCAAGTGATGAATCTTACACACGCATAAAATAATCTAGTTACATATTACCTTTTCAGGTTCAATTTTGCTTTCATTTCTGAAGCACAGCAAAACACTTTTCAGTGTTCTTTTGTACTGGTGCAGTTTGATCCCACTGATACAAAGATGGAAAATTTACAGTGACAACGAGTCACCGAATATGAGGAAATCAGTAGGCCTGCTGGACTGCCAGGGAGTAAAGAGAGCGATTAAGGAAGAACAAGATGCTGCAGAAGAGTTAAGTGATTTCTTTGCATCAATCTTCATCCAAGAGGGAGCTGGAGAGATATTTATCCAACATCTACTATTTGCAGATAATAAATGAGCAATTTTGCATTCAAAATTAGTTGTCCAAATTATATAAATTGAATCCACATATAAATACTAGATTTGCAGGCAGTGTCACATTACATACTTAAACATCTAAATGACCTACATCATGCTCACAACTCATTCCAGGCACAAAAGAATTGGCCAGATTAAAAAAAAAAATCCAGCTGTACAGCTTCAAAGTGCTCTACAAACATCAACCAGTCAGGCAATTCCTGGCTCTGCTGCATACTTCCTGTATAACCTTGGAAAAGTTGTCCAGCTGCTTTCAGCCTTAGTTTCCTTAGCTGTAAAATGGGGTTAGATACCTCATTACCTCACAGAGATGCTGCAAGATTTATTCCTTTCATGTGAATTAAAGATCTAGATAAGTTCATGGCCTGTGAATTCCTTCAACCCCCTCAGATGGAAGGTGCTATAGATGTGTTATTGTTATTATTAAATTTTACAATTACAATTAATTTCACATTGGTGCAGGATCAGTTTTACTACTCTCACATTAAGAAACGTAAATTCTTCTGCTGTTTCTGCTCTGATCATACTGAAGTTAACAGTTGTAACAGCGGCACTGCTAATTTGACAATGAAAAGTCACAGGATACCCAACGAATTATTGAGAATGGATGCACCGTGGAAATGACTGCTGAGTTTTAGTTATATGACTATCTGACAAGCATCATTTACATGTATGCAACATAATGGTTTGGATTTAAACAGGAACATGGTTGACCATGGACCTGTGTAATTATAAGGCTATATATATCGGTTTTGATAAGTCGGCCAGTCAAGTAAAGCACCCACTACCACAATTTATATGGGCCTGTGCACTGCAACCATTTAGAATTATTTGTATGGGGCAAATCCTGACCCCTCCCTCAGATGCAGTGGAATCAGCGCAATTCCACTGCACAATGCAGGGGCCAGCATTTGGGCATCTAACTAACTGTATGAGACCATTGCAGGGCCTCCCTGCACATCCATCCTCAGTGGCAGAGCGAGAGCTATGGATTCACTGGCTATTCTGCTGGTGGAGCTAATGCAGTTTCACACCTAAATAGGGCTGTAATCTGGCTGTCATATATTACACTGATGACTAGAGAGGAGCTCCACAGTGTGGGAATGGGGGAAAATCCCTTCATCTCAAACCTCTGTGGAACCCCCTGCACCAAATCTAGCCACTCACGCTTGGTCAGGGAGTAGAGTGAATAGAGCCTTTATTCACTTCCCACAATAATTCTCCTGTCCTAGATGAGGGGAGCAGAAAAGGGTTCACGGCTTAGAACTTGTTTTTTTCTTTTATACAGTAGGCTGAAAATAATGAGTGAAAAACTGTAATATTATAGTATACAAATTCCACAAGCTAGCAAGAGCCTCCTTGGGTAATACACTGTACATGCTTGTACACTAGGGCCTGAGTGACATCAGTGGCTGCATTAGAGCACAGAGTTGAGCCCAATTACACTACTGCAATAAAACCCTTTTTACCATCTCTATTACTGTTCTGATTAGTTCTTATTCATAATTACATACTACTGCAAGCTACCAAGCCACAGTTTATAATAGAGCCAGTATTCTGTCTAGCATACAAGGGGATAGTTTCTGCATGAAGAAATACAGAAATACTGTACTTCCATATGCATAAACACCTCTTGGCTCCAATCACTTTCCAGATCATGTTGTTCTTTTTCATATTGAAACATTAAATATAATGTAGCAGACACAAGCTAAAAGCCTTTCTCTGGAATGTGCCTGACTGACAGATTTGGAGAAAATATTCAACTGGGATTTGAAAAGAAACAAAACATTGTGATGCTTTAGCTAACTCCATATGCGCAATTAATGTTGAAAATATAAAAGACATTTCTGTAGTACAGCTTCATGCAGCACTGTGAACATCCATCTTCTAAAGAATTAACACCTCCAACATCCTCTGGCTTTTGCTGTGTGGAAAAATTCTCTTCCATGAACTAAAAGATACACAGGGCTCAATTCTGCTCTCGTACCAGTTTTACGTAATTGCAATTTTACCAGTTTCATTAGAATTCTGATATACGTGGTCTAAACGAAATTAGAATCAGGCCCAGAGTATAATGATCCTCGATAGTTTGAAATAAAACCTACAGCTAACTAGCTATTTGCAGTCAACAGGACCTATCTTCCATCTAGCTTTTTAAATATACTTGTTTCCTTTCAACATTTTACGAGAGCGATCTAAGGAATTATAATCTATGTTGCACAAGCAAGTGCAGTTACATTTCCACCATCATATATATTGTAATACGAATTTTAGAAAACCTTGTCTTGCAAAAATGATTTATAATATCAGATATACCAAGTAATCACCATTTCAAAACATGCTCCTTCTTCAAACTCTGCTAATGGGGGTTAATGAGCATTAGAAATTTCCAAAACAAAAAAAATCTTATTTACATCTTCCGGTAATGCTGCTTTGTCCCTTCAGTGCTAACTACTGAGCTCTGATGTACCACTGTTAGCTCTTCCTTCTTCCTAGCTCTTGTATTGCACATAGGTTAGTTGATATACTGGAAAAATAGGGTAGCATTTACTGGAGACGCTCTAGGTTTATAATGGTGTAACCGAGCAGACTATCCCCTGTCAACCAATTGAATCTTCAATACAATTTGCCTTAAAGAGCTGTAACTTAGAATGTACTTAGGAGCCAAAGGGGCAGATCCTCAATGGAGCTGTGATAATTTACACAGGTTAAGGGTCTGCCTGCCCAAGAATATCTAGTCTGGAGGAAAGTCGGCCCATGCATTATTGAGATCACTGTCAGAAGCATCCACTAATTTTCGATGCCCAACTTAAGACAACTAAAGCCTGATTTCCAGCGCTCCATGGAATTTTTGGGTGCTCAGCACCTCTACAAAAATCAGGCTGTAGGTGTCTCAAACTGAGTGTCCAAAATTAATATATTTGAAAATATTAACCTAAATAAAAGGCTCCTATTTATGTAAGCCAGTTGCATGGTACTTTGCTGCAGAAGTTCCAGCTGAGGGCATGGAAACAAACAAAGAAACAAAGCCAAACTTCAGAGCTCCATTAACTAGGGCTATGCACTCTTCGTGCGTCTAAAATTCCCAACGAATACAGGGTTAGGCCCCCAGTTTACACTAGCTGATGTA